CGATGCGCTAACGAACCCGATGTGAAAGTTAAATTACAGAACCATTGAAATACATGTTAAGGTAGTGTTAATCTTGTAACACTATATTTATCCATTACCAACCATTTACGCGTGTACTAAATATATGAAAAACCTAACCCTGATTTCAAAGGTATTAAAATGCATGTCCTACAATCACAGCATTTACATATGTTACACAGACATATGCAGACACCGTTACACATGCTAGTAAACACATGAAAACAATGGCCAGATTTACACACCTGTGAAATACATGTAAATACAGAGTTGAGTGTTCGTTAATTTTAACACCCTTTTAAACGTGTGTAAATCTGTCAGCCAGATGACACGTAGATTTCCAACGTTGTTTATATGGCCGCCGGATGAAACGTATACGGTATTTCCTAACGTTAGTAAATTTGGACAATACAGCCATTTTGTGTGGTGCAGGCGATTACTGTCTGGGGGTTCTTTTCTCCATATGCTTACACAATATCTTATATACAAAGATCAGATTCCAGTTTTGGACCTCATTTTGTCATGTTGCAGTGTTTACGGGGATGTTACAGCCTTGTAGCGCATTCCGTTAATCTGCAAGCATATTAATATTATGAAGTCATCCATTATATCATAACGTCGCTGCATTCCCATATGACGGGTTGTCTGTCTCACAACAGTGAGAGATTGCATGTTGCTTTTCGTCGTATGTTATGTGTGTTCAGACTCTCGGGTTTTAAAGAATATTTGATACCTACAATATTCTCAATTTGAAACCTCTTACAATCGGTTCTATGTTAAATATCATCGTATCGAAACCTTCTCATCATGTTTGCTTGTTTGTAGTTTAACGCCACACTCGGCAATATTCGAGCTCTATGAGGTGGACTGTAAAATATCGAGTCTTTACCAGGCAGTCCAGTGATCAACATCACGAACATCGATCTACGCAATTGTCTAAACATGCTGTGTTCTGAGATGAGGTGTAATTCCACTGTAACTTGATGTTTCGTATCTGTATATGGACGGGAGTGCTTTATCGCCATAAAACCATGCATTTAGGACTAGGGGATGATTTCAGCCTTTTTATTATTATAGGATATTTATATAGCACACATATCCACGCAACTAGTGCTTGCTGAAGGAGCTGGTATTTTCTTCCCTCGATCATTGGATGTCAATCTCAACGGCACATCTTATTATCAATTTCAACTCCCTGGGGAGTATACAACTCTTGCAGCCACTAGGCTCACCGAGTTATTGTGTCTTTCTCATCCTAACGAGGTACCCATTCACAGCTGGGTGGACTGGAACACACATAGTCACAGTACTTTGCCCAAGTTCACTGCACGTTGCTTTACCCGCAACTAGGTGTTTGCACGTATTCATGTGGCCACCATCTGGTCATATACCAACGGATTCGTGGATTCTTTTAAATGCACAGGGTTGTGTACTGTACACTAGGGGTTGTGACAACACGGACAGAGTATGCACACAATGTTGACTCCAAGTTTTTTACACCCGATCACAGGTGGGCTCGATCCCGACACCTCAACCTCGCTGGATCACTAGCCTGGCGCTTTAACCAGCTCGCCCACCTTGTAGCGGGCTCAGTAAATACAGAAATCGTCACATTTCAAAACTTGTTTCGCCACCAAAACGAGATATCTCCCAGTCGATATTTATAGTGTTTTCTCAACGCAATGTGTTGTCACATATACTTTGTATATTGAATTTACCAAAATACCTACATTTTACTTCCTCTAATTTGTTTAACTATTTAGAAAAGGCTATTGACAATGAGAAAGACATACCGCTCTGTTGATATGATGTCGTTAAACTGGCTGCTTGAATCAGAGTTAGTTGCTATGATTTGATAGCTTTAATTGACCAATAGGAATGGAGTCAACATTTTGATAATTCATTGCAGAATATTCAAGCTGAATAGACACGGTATCTTTTATCCTAAATCATAGGTTGTCTCGCGGGTTATGATTCTGATTCTTCTTTCAGGGAAGATCGGATCATGGAAGGACTGCTTTTCGGCAGAGCTAAGTGAATATTTCAAGCGTGTCTACGATGAAAAAATGAAAGATTCCAAGTTCTACAATATGTACAGACAGCAAGTCTGACAAGATGTCGCTGTTGCATTTTTGGTTGTCGCTGTTGGTTGTCGCAGTTGGTTGTCGTTGTTGGTTGTGTGAGGATGTGTGACACCATCACTGACTGATCCATCATAATTATACATTCAGAAAAATGATTCATCCACGTTTTAGGAAAAGGTTACACTGAGGGAATAGTAAAAGGGACTTTGCTTTTAGTAGACATTCCACGTATATTTTATGCTAATCCATCATAATAATATGATAATAAAAATTAGCTTGTGAGAGGCATATAGAAGTTGAAGTAGTAAGGAAGGATAACAATATATGGATGAACAACTTCTTTATGACAGCGAGAGCGACGTTTCGGTGTAGGTTCTAACACTGTCGCTTGATAACAGCCTTAGAAACTACACCGAAACGTCGCTCTCGCTGTGATAAAGAAGTTGTTCATATATTTTGTAATCCTTCCTTGAAGTGTAAGTTTGACGACATACTGCGGTTGGTTGTCCAACGATTTGTGACACCGTCACTGACAGAGTAATGCATTATAAAGTATATGAACTTCAGAAAACTGATTTATCTAAGTCTTAAAAATATGTTACATTCAAGGAATCGTACTAGGGACTCGTACTCGGAGAGTCTGGTCATTATTATTCAAGAAATTCAGACAATATCCCCTTGCCAAGAACAAGAATAAACTCTATCACGAATCGTTTTCCCATCGACGAACAAGAATTTGTACTTCACTATCAAAATTCCAGTCGAGCATAAAAACATGCTATAACTTAGCTCTACTGTATGTTTCTTAGTATTAGAAAACTCAAAATACTACATATATAAATACGTCATAGTGCTAACAGATTTAGTTAGAGTAAGGCTAATCACAAATCCATCCTGCGCATGTGGTAATCCATGCGAGGATGCACGTCATTATATCTTAGAGTGTTCATTATACAATCAACATAGAAAGATCATGAAAGCTATTCAATATGTCTGTGATTAAATCTTTGAAGGGCATTTAGAAGTGGAATACATAAGAAAAGCAAGATTTATGGATGTCAACTTCTTTATTGTGAATAACACGACGTTTCGGAGTCTATGCTTGCTCCTTCATCAGGTGAATGGTTATATATATCCCACCCCTGTACTCCCTACCATTCACCTGATGAAGGAGCATGCATGCACTCCGAAAACGTCGTGTTATTCACACAATAAAGTTGACATCCATAAATCTTAATGTCTGTGATTAATAAATCCCTTATTAGATTATCTATTCTTTTAAAAACTGGCAAATTCTAAAAAAGAAATTGAATAATATTAATTCAAATATGTCCATCAGTTTATAAGCCAAACAAAAAGATCCCAGAAGATTTCTTTGTATACACCTTTTGTATTTCAATACATTCCCTGTTTCCAGTGATTGCTTGCACAAACATTTATTTTGTAAATAATTTTGGAGAGGGGTATAACAACGACTTTTCGGAGTGCATGCATGCTCCTTCATCAGGTGAATGGTAGGGAGTACAGGGGTGGGATATATATAACCATTCACCTGATGAAGGAGCAAGCATACACTCCGAAACGTCGTGTTATTCACACTAAAGAAGTTGATATCCATAAATCTTGCTTTTCTTATGTATTCCACTTTTAAATGCCCTTCAAAGATTTAATCACAGACATATTGAATAGCTTTCATGATCTTTCTATGTTGATTGTATAATGAACACTCTAAGATATAATGACGTGCATCCTCGCATGGATTACCACATGCGCAGGATGGATTTGTGATTAGCCTTACTCTAACTAAATCTGTTAGCACTATGACGTATTTATATATGTAGTATTTTGAGTTTTCTAATACTAAGAAACATACAGTAGAGCTAAGTTATAGCATGTTTGTATGCTCGATTGGAATTTTGATAGTGAAGTACAAATTCTTGTTCGTCGATGGGAAAACGATTCGTGATAGAGTTTATTCTTGTTCTTGGCAAGGGGATATTGTCTGAATTTCTTGAATAATAATGACCAGCCTCTCCGAGTACGAGTCCCTAGTACGATTCCTTGAATGTAACATATTTTTAAGACTTGGATAAATCAGTTTTCTGAAGTTCATATACTTTATAATGCATTACTCTGTCAGTGACGGTGTCACAAATCGTTGGACAGCCAACCGCAGTATGTCGTCAAACTTACACTTCAAGGAAGGATTACAAAATATATGAACAACTTCTTTATCACAGCGAGAGCGACGTTTCGGTGTAGTTTCTAAGGCTGTTATCAAGCGACAGTGTTAGAACCTACACCGAAACGTCGCTCTCGCTGTCATAAAGAAGTTGTTCATCCATATATTGTTATCCTTCCTTACTACTTCAACTTCTATATGCCTCTCACAAGCTAATGTTTTTCGTAAAACTTGGAATTTTCTGAAAATCATATTATTATGATGGACTAGCATAAAATATACGTGGAATGTCTACTAAAAGCAAAGTCCCTTTTATTATTCCCTCAGTGTAACCTTTTCCTAAAACGTGGATGAATCATTTTTCTGAATGTATAATTATGATGGATCAGTCAGTGATGGTGTCACACATCCTCACACAACCAACAGCGACAACCAAATGCATTTCAATAATCACGATGTGGAATGCCAGCACCAGACCATCATTCTCGAACATCTGCCGAAACAGTTCCAGTTGGACTCAAAGGGCAACAATGCGATGACAATTACATGGAAACAGTTGTCCTCGAAAAGCAAGCATGCCTTGCCGGTAGTACCCGCAACTCATACAGTTAGAATAAATGATAAGTGAAATATCTACAAGTTTTGTTTAAATATATTTTATTTACAAAGTCAAAAGGATAGGGAACAAGTCCTTACAACTTATACAACGTCATCCCTCCAGCAGCTGGTGATTATTGGAAAGTTTGGCCAAACAATTAATCGTGACACATATACTCCGATTAAAACCAAACACAATGAGAACTACTTTAAATGATCGGAACTTCCTTATCCTTGTTCTGAATGCTACATACTTATGCACAGTCACTCAAGTGTGCTGCACATACCAACTCATACAAACTTGTACTCCCATACGCGCACTCTCAATCGCATATTCACTGCGATTGAACTGCTCAACTGCAAAATACAGCCATACACATAGATACAAAGGACCATCCTGTACAGGTCCGCGCAAGCTGCAGGTAACCGCTGAAGGGGGAACCGGGCTAATAGTTTATTAAACAATCATTGTGCTTAGTCAAGTATCATAACCCTACTCCTGTTTACTTCTTATCAACAAGACACTTTCTCTCGGGGATGTCAAGCTCGAGTGTCCTTCAAAAGTTGTGAAAGGAAGACACCAAAGACTGGAATATTCCTCGGGAAAGTTGACTATTCGAAATGTGAAATCATCTCTCTTGACTGTCCTCAAAGACGCTTTCTCGCCTGACGTAAAGCTACAGAAGGTATAGTTTAAAATACGGTTACCAGTGTTAACCATATGGCTGAAAATATCAATTCAATTTACTGTGACTGTGGATTCTGTTCATACAAGACCCGTGAAGACCCTGGTCACAGTTAATCCACAGCAAATTTTGTAGTGTCTTTTCATCATAGATCAACCCACAAGGGATACTTTAGATCATGAGACCCGTGAAGATCCGGGTTAGAATTGATCTTTAGCAACGCATGCTTGTCGTAATAGGCGACTACCGGGATCGGGTGGTCAGGCTCGCTGGCTTGGTGGACGCATATCATCGTATCCCATTGTCTGGTCTAGACTCGATTATTTACTGACCGCCGCCATACACCTTGGTGAGTACGGGTGCGGCGTTAAACGACGAACAAACAAAATTCATACAGAGGCTAATATCGTGGGCACTTTGGCGGGAAATATGTTTTAACAGGGAGTATAGACATGTTTGTATATTTGAGTTAAGTTAAACTATAATATCTAAAGCACTACTTAACAATCAGATTAATGGCCATCAGCACATCCATGTGCAGGTCAGCTGCGTGTAATTAACCTTAGAGTATGGCCGGTTGGTCATGGGCGTTCGACGTTGTAAATGAAATGCTGGATACTGCAGGTTGACCATGCATGTGCGTAAAACGATCCAGTCCTGCCAGACAGTCAGTCATGTTTGTATATACGTTGAATTCTTGTTGAAAGAGGAACATGACCTTTGGACAGCGGCTACTCAAGACGATTGTCTCCGAGGTGTCTCCAGGCCGTTGTTGCTATAATGTAGTTAACAATATATATTTGGACGCAGAATTAAGTGCTGTCGACACACAGATGGACTTCTGTATTTGAAGAGACGTATCCCAACCATGACAGCTCGGGATGTTTTTTGAAGCCAGCATTCAACACACGTCATCCTCTCTGTATGATTAGGTATGAACGTGCACATGATATCAATGCAATATGTAATAGATTGTTTGTTGATTCACATTCAGACAGTGCAGGTCTGCATTTAAGCTGGATCAAGTGCTCGAGGCATATCATACGCTACTTCACGATCAGGTAAAAAATGTACTTTATGTTAATGACCACTTACTGATTTTGTTTATTGGTTTTATATTAATACTCCAAAGTGGTCATTTTATTCTTTTTGATAAAGTGTTTGATCCTTGCCTTCATTAGATACAGTACAACCAGAAATTATTGAGAATTTAAAGATTGTAATTATTTTTTTTTTCACTCATTACTCACGTATTAATGTGAATATTAGCAGAACATAACTCAAGATTCAAAGACAGGTGAACAGTTAGTATTTTGTCAAGTCACCATGGGCAGCAATGCAGGCTTCAATGCGGCGGGGCATACTACTCATCAAAGAAGTTAGAAAGTCGTGGTCCATGCTGTCCCAATATCGGACCACCTCTTCTCTCATTTCAGCAATATTTGTCAGAGTTTTCTTATTGACGCTTTCCTTCATAAGTCCCCAAACATTTTCTTTTGGATTTGGGTCAGGGCTATAGCTTGGCCAATCTAATAATGTCATATTTTGGGTCCGAAACCAGGCCTGTGAATGCTTTGAAAGGATGTTTTGGGTCGTTGTCCTGCTGGAAAATCCAAAACGTCCATAGAACACGTGAGCAGATGGAAGTAAATGTCCCTCGAGAATATTTGTGTACCGCTCACTGTTCATATTCCCTTCAAATACACAGAGGGGAGTTGTCCCTAACACATATATGCCCCCTACATGTTAAATTTCGGACTGTATTTTGGGCGCTGATACAAAGGTTTTCAGTTTGTTTGGTCCAGAATGTCAGTGTATTAGGAAACAGCCACAAAGAACTTTCATCTGAGAAAATCACATTGTCCCAGTTAAAATTTCTATGTTGTAAGCACCAGTTCAACCTTCGCTCCTTTTGTTCAGTTTTCATGATCGGTGATGGAATTCCTCGACTTTTCTGCCAACCCATTGCATGCAGCACATTTCCCACTGTCTCCTTACAGACAGCCACAGTTACTCTATCAATCATATCCTGCCTTAAAAAAGGATTAACGTAATTGTCTCTCTTGAATGAATCCACGCACTTGATAGCTGGTCAAGGTTGTTTAAACTAGAAATCCAATTAAACATATTCCTAAAATTCTCAATAATTTCTGGTCATACTATATGTTGGTGGCGTATCAATCTGCATAACGGCCCACAATTGCTTGACAGCAGACATGAACAAAACGTTCGTTCGGCATGTTTGCCACAGGCAGTTTCAATGTTAATACAAAGGTAAATATTTATACATCTTTCAACACATTGTACCCATTAGAATACATATTATATTTTATTCTTCAATATCCATAGAAAGTATATGCACATAATGTATAAGGATGGCTTCATATTTCGATCTGATTACTGTGCCTTTACTAGAGCATTTGTTGGGACAACGATAGGTCGAATGTTGAAAGGGGGCTAGACCACAACTCATACAACGCTCTCTGGTCAGACAGCCTTACAGACGGAAGGGCGAGTTATTATTTTCTATATTACCTGTGAAGATCCGGGTTAGAATTGGTCTTCAGTGAGGTGAGGTGAAATTGGGTTTAATATCGTGCTTGAGAATATTTCGCTCATATGACGACGTGCATGCGTGTGTATGTGTATGTGCGGCTGCTTGTACTAGCCCAGACTGAAGCTGGTTTTAAAGTGCTAGCCCACTGAGATACCATGCCGCAGTGAAGCATGAATACCCCACTCAGACACATTATACTGACTCCGAGTCGATCAGTCCTTGTTGTACCCATTAATGCCGAGCGCCAGGCAGGGACCAACAAGTACTGGTCTTCAGTAACCCATGCTTGTCGTAAGAGACGACTAAATGGATCGGGTGGTCGGGTTGGCTGACGTGATTGACACATCATATCCCAATTGTGTAGATGCTCATGCTGAATGTGGCTTTAAGCAACTAACAACGATGTTAAATAATGAAAACTTCCACTGTGCACAAGCCATAACCATTAGAGGTGTGACGATACAGAAATTTCACGATACGATACGTATCGCGATATCATGGAACGATACGATTCGATACGATGCATATCACGATATGCTATCTTTAGTTATTTTCTTTAAAAAAGTGTATTTTGATAACAAGAAACAGTGTAAATTTTGACATAACCGTCAATTTCTGATGAAAATTCAATTTTAAGGTCAAATACAGTGTATCGATATATTTGACACGATTATCGATACTACGATATATCGTCACAGCTCTAATTACCATACATAAACGATAGGTGTTCGTGAAAGGGGTAAACATGTCCAGCCTTACTTGCAGCAACTGCAATTCTCACAACTTGCATGAAACTAGGTCCATATAGTCTATCATGTGATGGTGGTCTGTAAACAAACCAGGCAACTAAAAACAGGATCTATTGCTTCTCAACTTCTCGCAAGAACCAACATATCTGCAGATACGCTGTAGGTTTCGGCATTCAAGATGAATGTACTTCGCAAACAACGTATAGCGGTACTTCATATAATGAATAAACAAATGCAGTCATACAAATCAGTAATCTAAACGCTATTTTAACATTGATGTGTGCCTTCTCATATAGCATGCACGCACTCAAGCATAAAAATATATCCATTTTTTCTATTTATGGACGCAAAACTTATTTTCTAACCATTTAACAAAACCTGTCAGTCGAAGATTTCTGTATTATTACATTAATATGAATAGAAAGGTTGAACAAATAACCACTTCTCCTTATTAAACTATACCATTTAATCACCTTCGGTTGTCAGGATTGCAGACATGCCACTTGTCAAGGTATCGCCAATGAACGCCCCTCAGTTCGAGCTACCAGTACTGGAGGTGGACAGCGTGCGTTATCCGTTCTTCTACAACGAAGATATAGTCAGGAACATGCCGGAAGTGACGTGTAGGGATGATGACGTCATGCTTTGTGGACACATACGATCTGGTAAATCAGTGAATATTAACCAATCTGTACCATTCTCACTGCCACACCAATCTCTACCATTCTCACTGCCACACCAATCTGTACCATTCTCACTGCCACACCAATCTGTACCATTCTCCCTGCCACATAAATCTGTACAATTCTCTCGCCACACCAAACTGTACTTTTCCCACTGCCACACCAATCTATCTGTACCATTCTGACTGCCACACCAATCCATCTGTACTATTCTCCCTCCCACACCAATCTGTACCATTCTTACTGCCACACCAATCTGTACCATTCTGCCTGCCCATCAATCTAACTGTACCATTCTCCCTCCCACACCAATCTGTACCATTCTTACTGCCACACCAATCTGTACCAATCAACCTGCCACACCAATCTGTACCATTCCCCCTGCCAGGCTAATCTGTACCATTCTCCCTGCCACACCAATCTGCACCATTCTCCCTGCCACACCAATCTGTACCATTCTCCCTTCCATATCAATCTGTACCATTCTCCTTGCCACCCCAATCTGTACCATTGTCCCTGCCACACCAGTCTATTTGTACCATTCTCCCTGCCACTCTAATCTGTACCATTCTCGCTTCCATATTTATATCTATCAGTCTGGTTTTCTTATATTTATGAACATACTTGATGTACCTATATGGCCAGACCTGGTTAGCATACTTTGGTAACTGAAAGGCTTAGTGACTTCGATTAAATGCTCGATTAATGACATGGTGACAATGTTGTCGGCTGTACTTCTTGATTCTAGGGGCGGTTGGGTAGCCTAGTGGTTAATGCGCTGGCTCGTCACGCCGAAGACCCGGGTTTGATTCCCGGCATAGGTACAGTATGTGAAGCCCATTTCTGGTGTCCACCGCCGTGATATTGCTGGAATATTGCTAACAGCGGTGTAAAACTCACTCACTCTTGATTCTTATCGTGATAGTGTTTCTGTGCAGCGTTCATACTCATTGAAAAGAATATGAGAATACGTAAGAATATCTTAATAATGCATAAACATCTTGGTAAATCGGCAAATTTTTACAGCGCCACACTTTCGCAAAATAATAAGAAGATCGCAATTTTGCAAAATAGTGTTAAAGCTTTAGTAAAGCATCCATCTATTACAACATTAGTGTTATAATTAAAAGCGGCGTAAAACTGTTTTTCAAATGCGTGATTTACCATGGTTTTACTAGGAGGATCCATAATCTGGAGGAAATAAATTTCATTCAAAATTTCAAATGCTCTGAATCACTGTCAAATAGTTTTGGTACATGGAGTTCCCAAATATGTGACAGTGAATGAGTGAGTGAGTGAGTGAGTAAGTATGGTTTTACGCTGTTTTTAGCAATATTCCAGCAATATCACGGCGGGGGACACCAGAAATGGGCTTCACACAATGTGCCCATGTGGGGATTCGAACCCGGGTCTTCGGCGTGATGAGCCAACGCTTTAACCACTAGGCTACCCCAGGGCGCCAATATGTGACAGACCGGTCGTACCCGTCATAAAGACATGACAGTCAATCGTCCACCTGAAAAAAGAACAAAACAAACAAACAAAACGAAACACATGAAAATGGTACATTAGTCTGGATGTATCTGACATAGAAGCTCTGTTGTTACTGGATGAGTTTGATCTGCATACTTTGGGTTGGTGTCTGTGTCAGATATATGGCCCGGTGCATAACGACACAAGTACATAAGAACTGATTAAGAAGAGACAGGGGAAGGGAGGAGACATGAACTGTGAAATAAGAATTTATATGTCAGGGGAAGTGTATCAGAAGATGATTTGTCAGAAGTACAAGGCGTTTAAAAAAGACGATCTGCTCCTCGTTCCACGTGTGTTCGATAGGGTAGAATGGACAAAAGTTTCTCACTCTAATAGGCATCAATGATCTTGGCATGAGGTGGTCGTCAGTTTGGATGAAGTCCAGGACGGCCTTATGTACACTTGTGGAATGTCATCCTTGTACACAGCACATATGTTTGCATCCTTCCCCGCTTTAGGTCATGGAGATTGGTTCTTCCAGCTCTCCTAATCCCATCCGAATCATTATTGCACCCAGCAAGGCGCTTATTTTTGGCTATTCGTTTACCTTCTCAACTCCACACTTCGGGCATAGAAATCTATCATGCCTCGACAGTATCCCGCTTCACCAGTGAAAAGTATTGGAACCCAGTCAAGTTATGTCCAATAAATCTTCAGTCCAATCCACACTTGCCTCCGTGACTGAAGACAAGCATTGTGTATTGTTTGAGTTCCGCGGGTCATTTTGGTGACGGTGAAGTGGTGACGTTTAGCTGCTGTCAGGAGATACGTGTCTTCTCGCTGTTTGGTGGAACGCTGTCGACCACCTGCATATATGATCCATGCGTTCAATCCATGCTCTGCTGAACATTTTGGCTGACACCATGGACAAGGCTGTGTTCATTCAGTTGTGGAACTGCACTTTGATGATGTTTACTGAATCTGTCACGATAGGTCCAAACAGGTTTTCAAGCATCTCGTGCCAATTACAACACGCGCTTTTGTCCGTTCATCATAAAGTGAGATTGATGGGGGGTACCAATATCTATAGGCACATTTCAGTCTTTATTTGTTGGATAATTTTGTCAGTAGTGGTTGCAGTGTTGTACAATGAGCTCCCCACAAAGTACATACAATATATATGACATTTCATCATAACACATATGTGGATACCCTCTCTTCCGAAGTATATAAGTCATCTTTGAAGTCAACTACAAGTTGGTCCAAACACCTTCAATGAAATGATGCCCCCTAATTGCCTTGTGGTTTGGTAAAATGTAAGTTATACCAGAAGTCATGGCGATGCATACTGTAGAAATGATCCCGAAAAGTATGATATCAGTATCGTATCAACTTTGGATCACTGCTGAAAAATGGTATGCAAATCATATATTGATAACACTATCGTTTTGCATAATGTTTTGTATTTGTTTTGTAATGTCTGTGATATAAATGTTGGCTTATTGCATTCCTGCATCGTCTTTGCCCTTTGTAAGCAAAAAGGGATATTTTGTCGGGATAATTCAGAGACATGACAGTGTGTTTAATATCCCTATGTACATATGCACAAAAAAACTTAGTTAAACGCCCCCTAACATATCTCACGATTGAATGATCCCGCTCTTAACCCTTTGAAGCGGTATCCTCCCAAAACTTCCACATCCCAAAACTTCCACATCCCAAAACTTCCACAGCTTATAACAACAACATTTATGGTTGACTGCACACACTTTAGCATACTGATTACCTCTGTCTGTAATGGTTTAATCCATTAATCAGTAAAGAATACAAAGAGGAGCTGTGATAGGGCCGGTGGTGACATTATATACCGTCCTAGTTGCCCGAGAATATCTATACTTGGGAATTCTATTTAACGGCAATTGTAAGTTTGCTAAATCAACTAAGAGACTTGCAGAACAAGCAACAAGGGCGATGTTTTCTGTTTTTAAAATAATTATAGGGAACTTGAAATCCAAATTGACTGTCAGATGAAACTTTTTGATCAATGCATTTTACCAATTTTATTATATGGGTCAGAAGTTTGGGGGTATGAAAATGCAACTATTTTAGAAAGAACGCACCTGGAATTTTGTAAGTATATCCTTAAGGTAAGACTATCTACTCCAAATATGTCATATAAAACTGGCTATTATTATAAATGTCACTACCATTATTGTGTCACTACCATAATAATCAATGCCAATGTCCATAACATTACCAATATCCTTATTTAATTAGAATTGATTTATGTGTTTATGCCTTGATTTGGTAGTGCAAGTATGTTTGGTAGTAGAGCTTCAAGTATGCACAATACAATTCATATTCTCATTTTGAATTTTTTGCTACATACTACTTTAGCCATGTTATATTGTAAAACTGCATATTTTAATATACATGTACATTAAATGTATGTTAAGCTTGAAGAAGTTATTTTTTGTATATTCACAACACTATGAACGTAATCAACAACATTTCAAGGTAAAACAAGAAAATGAAATTCACAATTTTTGCCTACATGAAATATGCAGGGATTTATATTATATATATTTCAGATAGTTAACTAACTGCTCTCTTCTCTACTAAAATCTCTACTCTGCTAAGTCAGGTGGTGTATCATTATCTGTTGTTTCACTTCAGTGCACTTCCTGGGCTATCCTATTACCTAAAAAGGGGTGATGAGCAGTTGTTGTTTTAACAATGTGTGGTAGTATTGGGATGTGGAAGTTTTGGGATATAACCCTTTGAAGCATATCTCGGACATGACTGGTCGTCGTGTGCAACAAAGGGATCCTCCTGTACAGAACCTGGCCCAGTTGGAAGTCGCTTTACACGAGGAATGGCGTAGACTGCCCCTTCAGAGGATCAGGAAGCTGACAGGGGGTATGAGGAGGAGGGTGCTGGTTGACATACATGGAGGTTACACGCGGTATTGACCTTGAATCGTGTAAGACACGCAACATGGCATTTTGAATGTTCATAATTAACAATAAGTTCAACATTAAACATTCAAAGGCCATATTATACTTGTACAGGTGTGTGTTTTTGAAATAAGCAATTATCATCATAAAATCAACATGTGTTCCAATCATTTTGTCGTTTTATATGAGTCAAAGGATCATACGGGTCAGAAATACTCATTTTTTCCCATCGGGGTCACCACGAGAGGTTTTATGTACGCAATACGTATCTATCATTGCAGCAATACGTATCTATCATTGCAAAAATACAGAGGTGCCTAATTAAGTCCTTTGTGCATATTAGATGCACATTGGATTGGTTGTATAGTCCTACAGGTCATCCTCACTGATTAGCCATACACAGTGTCATTATGTGCCCACATCAGCCGTTTAAACGTATAGATTAGGCAGGTCGTCGAAAATCCGTGCTTGCCGCCATAAGCTTCAAACAACTACCTCTTCAGGCTGTTGATAATGTCTGCTCCTCGTTGTATCACATGCGTAGATCATCAAAAGGGTTAGGGATCACATGATATTCGCGGATATTTTCAAAGCGTATACTATCCCCAAAAAGGCACAGGCCAGAAATCTGTTGCGAAAATGTTGTATTTTCAAACATGTATCACTCGTCCACAAATAGACTTTAGTGCATGAAGTTTTACATCAGTTTAGAAGAAGGAAATGTCTATACAACCAAGTGGATAATTTCAGATAACGGAGACGCTGAGCGCGATAGTGACAACGTATCACGGTCCCGACGCTGTGTCTCCTGGCTCTCAGTCCAATCTCTCTCTCAACCTGTTCCGTACAGTTTGACCGGATATCCTCCCAAGTCCAGGCACCCTTGCTGCTGTGCACTCACAGTACGATCACGCAAATGTAGTACCCGGATGTACCGTTCTTGGGCTGCAGTGGTCATTCGAGGTCACGTACTGGGACGGTCATTAATACCTGTTTGGTTGTAACGACCTGAAAGCCGTGAAATCGTGCTCAGACTAACATTCAGACGCCTGGTAACAGAAAATTGATAATCTCCAGCGTGCTTTCTTTCAATGGCGATGTTCCCTGTGGCAACGTCAAGACATGGCGTAGTGATTTGACCTTGAAACTCTTTCAAAACGAATGCCGGTTTCCGAAAGTAATCTGGATTTTTATAGCCAGACAGTGTCTGATCTTTTCTGCACTGTTTCAACTGGAAAATGAATTTTGTTGCTCTTTATCCTTGTAAGAAATCTCATCAAAATCAACATTTTCAGGGTCGATTTGTTACTTGTGCAATTGTGTAAAATCATGTTATCAACACTTTTGTTACATATTTTGACGATTGTTTGAACACAATAGGTAATTAATAGATATTTAAAAATACAAAACGCCTATGCGTTTCTTTTTTTGGATAGTATATTTAGTAAGTCATGAGTTTTGACTGGGTGTTATATTTGCTATTACTATGTCTCTCTAATATGTACTCTCGTTAGAATACGGAAAATGTCGGTAACACAACGCTGAACTAGTGGAGATTGGTTGCAGCATGCATTTCCGCCAATCACTGGCCATCCAGTCAGGCGATTCTGACACTCTGCATTTGTATACATGTAGTTACTTTACTAAAAGTATTCCGCTACCACCGACCCTGTCTACCCCGGTAGAATCTTCAATTGCCATAGCGAGTCAGCTCTCTAAGTTAAACCCATTCGTTCGTATTTCGTTCTGTTACTCATAGATGTTTTCATTTTCTTGTTACCCGTAAATAATTGATCTTCAGTAACCCATGCTTGTCGTAAGAGGCGACTAACGGGATCGGGTTGTCAGGCTCGTTGACTTGGTTGAAACATGTCATCGGTTCCCAATTGCGTAGATCGATGATCATGCTGTTGATCACTGGATTGTGTGGTCCACACTCGATTATTTACAGACCGCCGCCATATAGCTGGAATATTGCTGAGTACGGCTTTAAATAGCAAACCAAACCAATATTTTTCTCCACTTTGATTACCTAGGTACACACTGGTGTTACGAAATCGTCAACATGCTGCTGAGTAAGTCAACTGCCAGTGTTCCCCACACCAAGCACGATCTGCATGTTGAGAGCGTGGACTTGGAGACACTGGACTCGCGGACCTCTCCTCGGGTTCTCAATGGACACATGCAGTTCAATCGCTTGCCGAAACAAGTCACTGAAAAACGTGTGAAAATTATCTACCTCCTGAGAGACCCACGCGATGTGGCTGTGTCGTGGTATCAACTGATGGAGAAGAACTTCCGGTATCGAGGGGGGCTGTCGATTTGCCCATTTCCTGACTGGCTGAAGTTATTCTGTGACGGCGAACGTGAGTTTGAAATAATAATAAATCAGTATCTAAATACACCACAGGATCACCCAAACCCTTTTGCTGCATGTATTCATTAAGATCTCTAAAACAATAACTTTACAGGCAGTCAGATGCATCCCATGGCACTGACTAGAAAAGACCCATGGATTCCAGTAGAACTGCCTCAAAAAAAGTCCAAATCTAACACCTGATGGTATTCGAAGCCCTTATTGGAAATGTTCCCCATGTGTCGAAAACACCATTACAGAGGAAGCTGTCAAAACCGGCAGCTGTCCAATCCAGCAAGTTGTCAACACCGGCATTAAATCTCTGCCCCATCTGTGACTAGTACATTTATCATCATTGAAAAGCTCTGCAATCTGGCAGCTGTCAATTCCGGATCTCGGCATTAAATCTAATTAAATTCTGCAATTGTCTCGTGGACATAGGGTTTATTCCGCCTCGGTTCCACAAAGATCAAACGATCCTTCGCCCAAAACAGTTGATTTCACTGAATACACAGTACAGACTATTTACAGGGTATCTTAAAGATCATGTCACCATACGACACCTCCCATGATATCATTTACATAGCCAGAAAGGGATGTTGGGGTTGCAAAGATCAGGTATTGGTAAAACAATGTTCATAGAAGAGGCTAAAACTCTAACATCTCAATGTGGCAGACAGTATCTTGTGGTTGTGACTCCATTTGGACGCCCATCCAAGGTACGACTTATAATATGCAGAGAGCGTCACGGACAATGACAATCCGATAATTATATAAAGAACTGGCCAGTGTACACCTTCAGATGTATCCAAGGAAAGACGTCTTCCGTTAGCACTACAGAGATCATTTCGTTTATGGAATTCTCTTTTGACAGCAATGTAATTGAACAAGGTGTCAAAGTGTCCGACTCCCCATTGCTCTTTGAGTCTTAAGTGTGGTACCCTCCAGGGGCTTCTGACTCCCCTGATAATGCAGAAGGCTGCAGTGTGGGAGACTCTTCACGTTCTCTGAAAGGTTCTTTGTCGAATCGATTCCTGGGAAAAGTTCTATTCGCTGTCTTGGTTGCGTGTAATTCATTTTCATTATTGAATTCTGTATCCCGTTTCTCAGTATGGTTATTTATCCAGATTCCACAAGAACCTGAGCTGATGATGAGCACCAGATGACCATCTGAATTTTCTTTGCAGCATTTATTTTAAATTGTATAATGATAAGACTAGCAAATATACAATTATATTTATTACGGATTTGAAAATGACAAGTGTTTATTTCAAGTCCGTTGGTTTTACTATAGTGCATGTATATCTAGACAAGCTGTTTTACCTATTACATCATTACTCCTACATATCATGAATGTTACCCGTGAAGATACGGGTTAGAATTGGTCTTCAGCAACCAATGCAAACAAGAGGCGATCAACGGGATCCGACACATGTCATCGTATCCCAGTTGAATAAATCGATGCTCATGATGTTGATCATTGGACAGTCTGGTCCAGACTCGATTATTTACAGATCGCAACCATACAGCTGAAATATTGCTAGAGTGCGGCGTTAAACAACAGCCAAACCAAACCAATCTTATGAATGTTTCAGTGGAATGGGGTAGCTGGTTCGATCACGTGACAAGTTGGGAACGCGCGATGTTACAACATGAAGATCATCCCTTTCTAGTCGTGCACTATGAAGATCTTATTTCAGTAAGTCAATGTCCTGTTCGTAAATGTGACCCGCCCTTCAAAAGTGACGTGGGCGTTGGGAGTTGAGGGAGACCACTGGTTTAAATCTTGTTTTTCGATTGGACTATGGTCCAATTGCACTATACGGTACACCGCGTGAAACGTAAGCTTGGAGTTCGAAGCAGTGCTGCTTGGGCGTTTATATACACTGTAAATCAGTATATAATTGAGTCTGGATATGACAACCCATTGACTATCATCATGAGTATTGATTTACGTCAAACGAGTGAGTGAGTTTAGTTTTACGCCGCACTCAGCAATATTCCAGCTATATGGTGGCGGTCTGTAAATATTCGAGTCTGGATCAGACAATCCAGTCATCAACAGCATGAGCATCGATCTGCGCAATTGGGAACCGACGACGTGTCAACCAAGTCAGCGAGCCTGACCACCCGATCCCGATGTCAAACGATGACACACATCAATCAAGTCATCGAGGCTGACTACCCTTCGAGGAGCGTTGGTCAGCAGACCTCTTGTACCCCTATCCAATTGCAGTCGCACTTCTGACACAATAATTCATCTTACCGAAGGGTAAGGCTTTCTGAAAGTACAAAGCAGATACCAACCATTGTTTCAACAATTTAATAGAAGCCAGTAACTGGACAAATTGAAGAGTCAATAAAATATCGTGCGTTTTTGAGTTAACCTGCGCGCCGGCTTTAAAGATACAGTCACTCGGTCACCCTGTCATAACTACTTAATATCTCCGATTTATTAAACATGTCTACCTTTCCTTTTTCAGGATCCGAGACGAGAAGTTATTCGAATGAATGAATTTCTTGGTACGGAAGCCGATGATGAGTTTTGTGAGGAGGTTGCAGCGGCGTGTCAGTTCTCAAACATGAAGGAGAATAAATGTAGCATCACCCAGATACTGAACGGAGAGACCATTCACTACAATAAAGGTGAAGTAATGTGAAATCAGAACATTCCTATCAACCCTTTACATTTATGAATTCCCTTGTGGGAATTTTGAGAATTATACCCAATACCTCACAACATAAGCTTGTTACCCGGTGGGTTTTTTTTCAGGGTAGATTTTGTACCTGTTTCCATATGCTGGTCGTAAGAGGCGACATATGGTTTGACCTCGTTCAGTCATTGTATCCCAGCTGTGTGGATCGATGCTTATGATGCAAATCACTGGGCTGGAATATGCACAGGCCAGAATAACCGGAATATTGCCAAGTGAATAGTTTAACAACAAACAAACCAACAAAACGGTACTCATTAACTCAGTACTAAAGCCAATACCCTGAAGGCATTCTGGGACAGAATAGGTTAAGAGTACGTATTTGTAAAACTATAGGACAAAAGTTACTAAATCAGGATATCACTAAAAATTAATGGCACTAGTCAGTGATTATATTTCCATATATTAGATCAGCTTTACAATCATAAAAGACAATACAAAGGTTCAAATATATGCAGCTACAACAACACTTCAGTGCACTCATGCAGACGTATTTTTTGCTCCAATCATTAAAAGTCTTGAATGAGACATGTGCTCCGGTTTTTAACCCAGAAGGCAGGTAAAAAAAATATTGTCCGAGATATCCCAAGCAGATAATATGCAAGTCAGGTCGCAGAATGAAAACCATATTTGGACCTCAAGACAGGTAAAGCAAGAAGGCATTTCAGGAAGTGATGACAACTGATAACAAGCTCCTCATAGCGAAGTCCTATGAGAACCCAAGAGAACCGTCAACGCGATATTTTACGAGCGCGTCGCTCAGTCTGTTGCCACTAACAATTACAAGCAATTAATTTACAATATGGACTGTTACATAAAATAGGGGATGGTTACAATGACCCACCTCGGTGTTCACACTCTCAACCACGATTGTGCCGGAACCAGGCTCATCTGCATATACTCAGGTGATAGCGGGATATTAGAGACGAATAAACGCAAATTATGTTATGATGTCATCATTTGCCATGATCAAATTTCCAAAAGTATTCGATATTTCCGACGTCATTTCTAATTAAAGCCCAGTTGATTATTGGTTTCTAGGCATTCTGTTTAATGGAAAGGTAATTACTAAACGGCTAGCTTTAACGTTGAGAACCTGAGGATATTCCGTCAGAAAACCTTATTGATGAGACACGATAACGTTCGAGATAACACAGCCCCGATTAGTACACGAGATCCCTTCCCGTATAGTCGCTAGACGTCGGAGTCAACGCTTATGCGACGTAAGTCTTGAGTCACTCCATTACCTAAAATGCAAAAAAAGCGGAGAACATATGACTAAAAAATTCTTGACATTCAGTGATAACCCCGGGTTTCTCGGAAATGGTAAGAATAGCATCCTCCTTTCATGAAAACGTGTGTAAGTCTAACACAACACAGGGTTTACTCCTGGAACCAATCCACACCATCAAGTAAAATTCCGAAATCTGGTGCTTATATAGGATTTTGCTGAAGACTTGATATCTCAATTTTGAATTACGTGATTTGTATCAGAGCAGAAATTCTGCTGAATATAATAATAATAATAGTAGTAGTAGTTTATTATAGTGTCATGTGTTATACATGATGAGACAACATAGTACAGCATATAAAATGCAAACACCAGGCCTCGAGAGGCCGAAATGACATCTTAAAAAGAATATTAGCAATATTTAAAAAGCGTTTAAAAAATATGAAAAGATTGTTGACATACATGTATATACATACTTAGATACATACATAGGTACATATATAAATATTAGCATCGATGCGTACAAACATAGGTATCTACAAAGATACATTCATACATAAATTCATCCATACATACATAGACGTATACATACTTAAATACATACATAGACACATGCATACATATACCCTTACATACATGCATAGATACAAACAATACACACACACACACACACACACACACACACATCCTATACATGTAGAGATAGTACAAAGAAAAATAAAACTAGTAACTTAAAAAATTAATGCATTAGAATTATTTACAGTTTTCTTGAAAGGATTTATTGTGGAACATACGTTGCAAACTTTTGGCTAGTTCGTATTGGATATCGTCATTTGACAACAGCCAGCAAAACTTATCATATAACTAAAAGCGCTAAAGAAATATTTTCGGTTAGCAACACGCCGGTAGGTGGGTGGGTTTGTTTCAATGCCTCAGTAGTTTTGTTTGTTGACACAGCATAAATCAGGTATATACAACTAACTCAGTTTTAAGCAGATATTTCTTATGGATGTGGCGAGGGTTTTGAGGCTTTAGTTTTCACATTCGCACAGGATACATCCACAACTGATTTATATATGCATGTACTACATTCATCAAGTGGATAATGCGTTCGTTCGCCACGCCGAAGGTCCGGGTTCGATTCCACACACGGGTACAATGTCCATATTGGTGTCCCCTCATATTCTTTGAATATTGCAAAGCCGACATAAAACCGAACTCACTCACTCACTCACTCACTCAACAATCGCTTGGGAATACCGACGATCGTTCTCAGATCTACATCCTGAGCATGTTACTCACCGACATCACCCTACTCCATGCACGAACCTTGTGCGAACCCTACCACTGGCTAACACTGAAGCCATGTGTGGAGAAGAGGCCGCTCAAGACAAATGGCCAATGTGTTGCTTCCTTCTCGCTTGAACCAGACCACGCTTTTAGTTGTTTTAAATATTAACTACACTCTACAGAGCGGTATATATTCGAGGGTTAAGTACTGAAGTACGCCTAAATCACTCTAATTTTACAATGACGAGATCAGGTGTCCTCCTGGAGTAAATAGTTTGCTGCCAAGTTTGTTTGATTGTGATTTAACACAGCACCCGGCAATATTCCAGCTATATGGTTACAGTCTGTAACCAATAGAATCTGGATCAGACTATCCAGTGATCAGCATCATGAGCATTGAAAAACAAAATGGGGATACGATGACATGTGCTTACCAAGTCATCGATCCTGAGTCCATCGATCCAAGACCCAATCCGGAAGTCGCCTCTAACGACAAGCATGGGTTCCTGAAGATCAATTCTAACTCTGGTATTCAGTCAGGTAGGTGGAGGATCAACTACCCATATTGTCACGTTAAGTTCCTTGTAAGATGAGTCTAATTCTTTTTCAGGTCACGTGGGATCATGGCGATCGTGGTTCACGCTGGAGATGATCAGTTACTTCAATCAGGTTTACCAAAAGAAAATGAGATATACCAGGATCCATTCCAAATATATGTGAACTCGCCTTCCTAGCTATAGTTTTGCGACAGGAATCCAGCCTCAGAACTTTTCCCTCAGGTTCACGTCAATACTGCAATATGCTAATATTTACGTCTTAATAAGTGTTTACATCTTTTTTTTATCAAGGGACACTTTGCAGAGAATGATATCGCTGATCGATGCGTTTGGTAAATAAACTCTTCCACATTTCCAAAATAAGGAAATGTATCAAACGAATTTAGGTGTACATACGTCGATTAAACTTGAACATAGACGAAGGTAATTCGATACACGGAGAAAACATGTGTATTGTTGTCATTCTCAGCATTAATTCAGTTCACTGCGCACGTGTTGACACAATGGGGACACAAAACCACGACACTATTCAGGGGATTCAAACTTAGGAATTGTCTTAATGACGATTGCTGTCAAACTGTTGAAATGAACTGCTGAAAATTTGTACTTGTCAGTAAAGTTGATCATAGTTCAGGGGGCGTTGTTATTATTAATTTTTCTCCAGTGTGTTTAAGGTATGCTCCAGTTAACATCGGATGGCACAACATACAATCATCAATGATTGGAAATCGTTCAATAACGATCGAATATCAAATATCACGTCTCCTGCTTTACCATCCCGAACTAGAAATAGCAGGGACCAGTGAAACCGCATCGCTGTATTTAGATCTGTGCATAAAGAATCCTTATGACCAAAACTTATTGACAAGACTGTATGACAAGAATGAGTGAGTTTGATTTTACGCCGCTCTTAGCAATATTCCAGCAATATTCCAGCAAGATCACGGCGGGGGACACCAGAAATTGGCTTCACACATTGCACCCATTTGGGGAATCGAACCCGTGACGAAAGAATGCTGTAACCACTAGGCTAACCCACCGCCCCTGTTGTACAGAAACCTGTCTCATTGCCCAGGAACCACAGCGTGTACTCCAACCCTAAGTGCAGTGCTTTAGCTCTTAATTAAACAAGCATTACTTGTTCGCAGTGTTCGTCCGAAATTTCCATCTCACTGGGGACGGTGGGTTACTGTTTATTCAACACCACACACAGGACTAAAAGTCGGATTTTACATCACTGAAATAAACGCAAACACTGTAGGAATACACGCTACGACCGGATTTCGGACATATATTTCATACAATGCTAAACCTTGCAAATATACGTTCATCGTATATTTTCGTATGCACAGCACCTCTTTCATGTAGGCTATGACCGGATTTATAGGTATTTCCAAATATAAATACAAAAACAGGTGCCCCAGGAAGTTCGTGATCATAGAGTATGTCCAATGCATTCCAACTGCAATGGGAGTTTAAAATTCCGATTTCGTTCTAAGTTTTCTATGGTTGGAAACATGGGAGTTTCCTTAGGCGGGGAAACATAAGTAAATTTTGAAAGAGTCCGATGTTTACACAGCTAAGACATTTATATATCATGCCGGATATCAAGGGTATGTATATGAACGGGCTTTATATGTTCATTCTACCGGTGCTCAAAGAAGATTATCACATAATGTTTCCATCATGTGAAATACTTGGTTCATGTAACTTCATTTTCACACATTTTAATACGTTTGAAATCAACGTTCATGTCCTCGGGTGGCATAGGCGGGTGCATCGAATAGCGGCATTGCAATCTGTATGCAAACCCTAAGAATGTTCGTTTTGCGTGCCTTTTGGAAACTCGTCTTGACTGTCCATCAACCTGTTTAAATTGACGAGCAATCCAAGAACTCTAGGCAAAGGTCGCACAAGTCAATGCGATGCTGCGTCACTGTCGTTTTCCCCTTCGGAGAAGTCCTCAACACTGGATATATATTTCGTTGTTTGGAGCAGCTCAGTTAGCAAGAATTAGTGCGCTGTGATTTAGAGGTAAATATAAGCATAGCAGGTATATGTAAGTTCAGAAATTAGATCACATTACTGACAGCAGGCTGATACACACGGATATGGAAATCAGATTTACAGACAGTAGACTGATACATACAGGTGTGGTGGGAAGAATAATGGGTAGTAAAATGTATACTGAGTAGGTCTGGCCATATAGGTACATCAAGTATGTTGACAAATATAAGTAAACCAGACTGATAGATATGAATATGGCAAGGAGAATGGTACAGACTAGCGTGGCAGGGAGAGTGATACACATTGTTTTGGCAGGGAGAGTGATACACATTCGTGTGGCAGGGAGAATGATACACACTGTTGTGGCAGTGAGAATGGTACAGATTCGTGTGGCAGTGAAAATGATACATCTATAATTGGTTAATATTAACTGATTTACCAGATCGTATATATCCACAAAGCATGACGTCATCATCCCTACACGTCACTTCCGGCATGTTCCTGACTATACCTTCGTTGTAGAAGAACGGATAACGCACGCTGTCCACTTCCAGCAGTGGTAGCTTGAATTGAGGGGCGATACCTTATCAACTGGCATGTTTGCAACCCTGACAACCGAAGAGAAGTGATTATTTGTTCAACCTTTCTATTCATAACAATGTAATAATAAAGGAATCTTCGACTGACAGGTGTTTCTTAAATAGTCCTAAAATAAGTTTTGTGCCCATAAATAGATGACTGGATATATGTTATGCTTGACTGCGTACATACTACATGAGAACGCAGACATCAATGTTGAATGTTGATATTCTGAGAAACCATCTCCTCCCGGCCACCCAATCAATTAATTGGCTTCGTAGGACAAGCATAAGTTGTGGAACAAGTATATCACTTTTTTCCCACAGGGATGAAGCAGATATATTGATAAATATAAGCAGGTATATGTATGTTCAGAAATTAGATCACATTACTGACAGCAGGCTGATACACACGAATATGGAAATCAGATTTATACATACATGTACAGAAAGTAGACTGATACATACAGGTGTGGTGGGGAGATTAATGGGTAATAAGTACACTGAGTAGGTCTGGACATAAAGGTACATCAAGTACCTATATTTTATGCTTGACTTCGTACATGCTACATGAGAACGCAGACATCAATGTTGAATCTGTTTTAAAACATCCTTTACTGATGCAGGCCATTTAGCAATTGAGAACATGATCAATCCATATCTCATCTTTCAGTAGATAATAACACATTTTCAACATTTTTTCATCATCTTGTTGGTTTTTATTATACATGTGATGGTACTTGAAAACATCAAAATTAGATTACTGAGGCATGCCCAGACACACAAGTTATTAAAAATAAACAATGCACATCTCCTTATTTAAGAGATAATTACCTATTCTGAATTATTTGGCCTTTAGCTTTATTACTTACAGTGTATCCGCAAATGATGGTTCTTGCAAGAAGCTGAGATGCAATTCTAGATTCTGTTTTTTAATTGCCTGGTTTGTTTACAGACCACCATCACATGGCGGACCGATGAATTGCAATCTAACTCGAAAACTAATAAACATAACATACTCAATGAAACGCTAATCATAATCAAAACATCATACCCACTCTGTGAGGCTTTTGCAGAATTTTTTGTCCTAAAAATAAAAAAGTTGTTTAACAATCTATCATTAAAATATTGACACAGTTCACTATTTGTTATGAGGGAGGAGTGCAGAGAAAGGGACAGCCAGGTGTTCGAGAACGGATGGAGACGGCACAGCACAGGTTAATGAATAAATAACTTTGTCTGTGAACGTGCTTCTCGAACACCTGGCTGTCCCTTTCTCTGGACTCCTCCCTCGTAACTTTATTATTTTTAGGACCAAAATTCTGCAAAAACCTCACAGAGTGGGTATGATGTTTTGATTATGACACGACTTTCTAACTTCTTTGATCTGTAGTATGGCCCGCCGCACTGAAGCCTGCATTGCTGCCCATGGTGACTTGACAAAAATACTAACTGTTCACCTGTCTTTAATCACAAAGAGAAAGCCATGTTTAAAAATTTACAATCTTAATTTCTCAATAATTTCTGGTTGTACTGTATATTGTGCTGTGCGTTCGTGCTTTGGTTGATACAAACGTTGTCACGGGCTCATTTTTTCTGTTTTTGGGGGGTTACTGTGAGTATAGTTCAAGTACTAAAATGGACGAAACACTTCTTCTTACTCTTATAAACTATAATTCACTGCTAATTTGAATAATGACCCTCTAAATTCTTCCAAATATAAAAAGCGCATCGCCGATTTTGCTCCTTTGCAGAAAACATCGGAAATAAAGCCACAATATGCTTTAATTTTGCAGTTTCTTGGTATAATTTGACAACATATGAAATATGTTATGTGAAATATTCCTAACATAGAGTATTCGTTTCTTTACACGAGTGTTAAACGTTACCCAAACCCAAAATTTCAAACTGAAGTATTCAGTCCCCTTAAGGAAAAGTCAAAATGTGATATGAAGGAGGATGTGTTTGGCCAGATGCAAGCCTTGTCAATGAATGAGTTAACAGAGGAACTACATATGAATACAAAAACATTTTCCTCGCATTAAGCTAACACTCGGACCTCGTCGACAATTGTTATTCCTGCATGTGGGAGTTTTGATGGAGGTGCTCTGAAAGAAATGATAGAATTGCTTCCACTAGTCTAAAATAACTTAAAGGACGTCGGGCATGATTATCTGTTTCTTAACTTTACACGATTGGTTGCTTCAAATTCATTTTCCTTGGACAATATTGCGTTTATGCTGTTTTCTGAAGTGGTATCGCGGTATTCACTCCACAACACGGTACTGATGAGATACAGAGAGGTTACAAAGTGATTTTGGAGAATTAGGATGAAAAACACCGGCACAGTGACAAGGGAAAAGTCCCTAGTGGTGTGTATGTTCCTAATGATTCCAAAATAAACTTCACAGTTCCTGATAGGACTGTTCCGGACAGAATGAAAGGTCCTCTTGAAGACAACCAACTTGTACCTTCTTGCAAATGCAGGACAGGATTGCTAAAACTGACCCAAAACAGGTTAACACTTACAAAATGTGTGTTAATGGAAAGAAAACCAATGTTTGTAGGGGAGGAAAGTTAAGGGACGTTGATTTATGTGGGGTTTAGGAGCATCCGACTCTCATCGGAAAATGTTAAGTATCACACGAAGCTCGTATTTTGGAAAGTTGTGAAGGACTTTTTAACAGTTTGGAATTTCGTGAATTAAGAACAGGTTACCGAATGTTCAGACGAACAAAAAAGAGTAGTTCAAGTCGTTGGGTCATGATGTCAATAAGATTTGCAGTGGTCACGTTAGACAGTTGAGACAACTCAGAGTTGGAGAAACTCCTGCACATGACAAATTTCTGAAAGCTGTAACTTGTGATTGGAGACATTCCAAATATGCTTTCGTAATAAGTTCTCTCTAAACAAGATATACCAGTACAATATATACATACGTTGAATGTGTCCAAATATATCAATAAAGCGCATCTTTGAATAAGCCCTCAGTCAGGACGTTATTCAGTTATGCGCTATGTTCCATACAGAGAAACAAACAGTTTCGGCTATAATCCAGTACAGTGATTCTGCATTGTTGCCGGTGAATTCATTGATATCGTCATAACTAAACAACTTTGAAACTTGAAAATTCACACATACATTGTAAAATCTATTACAAATGGAATACTTGTAGCTCCTTAGGCTAACATGATGGTATATGTGAGTAAAGCGAAAGCGCACAAGTTTGTCGAATTTGGCCCGATGCGCAAGGGGTGAAAAGAATTGTTTTCATTAACACACAAATATCTCGCTAATAATTACTTTAACTGTTATATCGAAGTTACCTAATGTTGTAGCGCAGCCGATTTGCATGTATAATTATACTGTACTTTGTCTTTAAATACACGTTTTTGATCGAGCATACCTGTTCAGACGACATATCTATGAACCAAAGCACGAGCGTACAGCACACTATATCCGGTTTGCACTGTATGGGATCATACACTGTGCTAATTCCTCCAAAATGTCAAATATTAAACCATTCAAACCAACAAAACGTAACGCATATGGTAGAATATTTGGCACTTTTGGAGCCACTTATAAAGACACTCTCACTTGTAAAAAGTTACGTGAAACCAACAGAAATAAAAGTATATTTGGCACTTTTAGAGCATATATTTTTGCTTGGAAATCAAGGGCAAATAATGCAAAGGGAGCTAACTCTGGATGACCCGATATATTGCAGAATCTGAACCATATCGCGAGATACTGAACCGGTATATACCGGATTACCGGCAATATTGCACAGCCCTACAATAAACCCAACTTGTAACACACGTGTCGCACACTGCTTCCCACTTTTAGAACAGTAACAAACATTGAAGTAAATTACAGACATAAAAGAGATCAGCAATTCTTGTTTTGACAATTGACACGGGACAAGTAATCTTTGGAGATGATAGGTTTCACAGCAACACCTGCTGTTGTAACACGTTTCCTCTTCATTTGACATTCTATGCAAAAGGATTTGAATAACTTAATAGCATCACGTGTGACATTTGCATATTTCACCAATGCTTTTACCATTTTGTTTCTGCCCCCATAACCAGTAGAAACATAGGCACGTTTTATGGTATCAAATATATCATCAATATGAGTGAAATAGCTAACTGCAGATTCTGATTAACTTCTCCACGTCACCACACTGCACTATCTCATACCTCCCAAGAATGTAATACTGCCGGAACTCTCCTTCTCAGCTCCTAGTGCAACCCTGACTTCTTCAATCAAATTATAGTACTCTTCTTTAGTCAACAAGACTGACTTTGAATCGGACTGTCGTCTACTCAGGAGATGCTCACGAAATGCAGACTCCATGATGATGACAAGAATGAATGTCAAGTCTGGTAAGAAAATACTTCATTTTATAGCATTTCTAAGGAAGCCTGTGCTGTAAGGAAGAATCATTTCTAGGGAAGCCTTTGCTTTAAGGAAAATTGGATTAATCTAAACTATAAACATAACTTTAGTGAAAGAAGCCCCAGTGATCACAGAACGAAACACATGCTAATTATGTCTTCTCAATAATCCCTGTTCAACAATCAGTCAATCTGTACAATAATTGGGTTAATTAATCAGGCAAAGTACACAATGCCTGGACATTTTAGACAATGTACACAATGACTGAGTGAATCGGGCAATGTTATTTCAGTTACTGCACACATTGCCTGATTGTAGACATTGACTGTAACATATAAAACTAAGTGGAAGGAGAGTGCAGCTTACCTGCACTCATTCATATGTCCCAGTATGCTATACCCCCTTAGTAACCTCCCCCCCCTGCATGACCCCCATTTACGTATATCATTTACTTTTAACTCTATCTCTCATTCATTGACAAATACATGTACTGCTGTTTTTTTTAATCCTTTCCCTTCAAAACATCGGCTTTTCATTTATTTTCCTTCCATGTTTCTTTAATGTTTTCCATTTGAAATTCCATATTCCATCAAACGCCCCATCATTTAATTTTTTTGGGGTATGGTGGTTTATCCCTTATTAAACCATATTAATTATTATACTAGCTCCCACCTACCCCGTCGGCGACATAGGCTAAAGCCAGAAGCAGACGTAAAACTTATAATCATAATAAGTACTGAAATGTTCCGCTCCAGAAAGGAACACTACCACCAATTCAGTTGAAACCAAAATCGTAGCCATGGAAACGCAAAAAAAACCCCCATTTTATTCAGAAATCCAAAACAAGCAAAAGGCACCAGTTCACCACTAGACCTACCTATGTATGAAATTTCGTGATGTAACAGTGAACAGTTTTAAGCTCTGCTCCGGAAAAGAGTACTACAACCAATTTCAGTCAAAGCTAATCTTGTTGCCATGGAAACGCCAAAAATATTTTATTCAGAAATCCCAAACTACCAAAAGGCACCAGTTCACCACTAGACCTACCTATTTATAAAATTTGGTGATGAAACAGTGAACAGTTTTTAAGCTCTGCTCCGGAAAAGAGTACTATCACCAATTTCAGTCAAAGTGAAACTTGTTGAAATGGAAACGCCAAAAAGTCTTTATTCAGAAATCCAAAAATACCAAAAAGGCACCAGTTCACCACCAGATCTATCTATGTGCCAAGTTTTGTGAAGAAATAGTTAATGGTTTTAAAGTTCTGCTCCGGAAAAGAGCACTACCGCCATGTTCAGTTTAAGTCTAACTTGTTGCCATGTAAACGCAAAAAATATTTTATTCAGAAATCCGAAATTACCAAAAGGCACTAGTAGACCATCAGATCTATCTGTGTGCCAAGTTTGGTTAAGAACAATTGAACAGTTTTAGAGTTATGCTCCGGAAAAGTCAAATGTGCCCGGACGCACGGACGGAGTCCATTTTAATACCCCTGCAAAACGCGTTGCGGGGGATAAAAAGAAGCTAAATTCTTAGGAGTAACTTTCATTTTATTGAATGCAGATATAGATATAATATCCTTGTATACATATCTCCGTATGAATGCATGTTATTTAATGCAACAATTTCAATTCTGTATAAAAGTACAAAAATAACATATATTTAATGCATCAATTTCTCATTGTATCATATGAGTAGGCAAAGATAAGTACAAAAGAACAAAAATAAAGAGAGTCAAACCATCCAACATCCCTTGCGTCTTTCTTTGGTATGATACAATGTTTTGATAACTAATTAATAGTTAAGATCACAGTGCTCATCCGTCGAATGCATTTACTACTCTGAAATCAGAAATTCGACAGATCGGCACGCGACCCTGAGATATCAGCTAAGATAAGATAATCAATAGAGACAATTTCAATACACATGAAAAAGCATAAAAATATCTTTGAAATGACCCCTTGTGCCTGTGGGCAGCACGCGCATTTCATGCCAAGTGAGTCGACCTGGCTGAGCGACCTAATTGCCACCTATAGTCTGATCTATTGTTTTCAGCAGCTATTGGTATTTTTTCTACGTTTTGCCCGATTTTACGAGTAAACATGCTTTTCTGGATATCCTATTACGCATCCCTTTAAACGCCCAGTTAGGCTGATGTGGGTTATTTCGACATATGCTATTTGCAGTAGTGTAAATTTTAGGGATACAGAGTAACAGCCTAAAAACAGTTTATTTCTATTTCTAATACTTTAGTCCTACCCTGTACCCTGTAACTTAATCTGTTAGCGTTATGACGTGTTTGCATATGTAGTATGTTGACTTGTCTAATACCGTAAGATAAGTACAGTAGAGCTGAGTTATAGGATGATTCGATTTGAAATTGATTTGAAGTTTGATAGTTTAGTACAATTTCTTGAATTGTCGATGAGAAAAACAATTCGTCAGAAATGGTTTTTTCTTGTTCTTGGCAAAGAGATATTGTCTTAATTTCTTAAATTATAATCATTAACCGTCAAATGTCGCCAAACTTAGACTTCTTGGAAGGATTACAATATATGGATGAACAACTTCTTTATTTCAGTGAGAGCGACGTGTAGGTTCTGACGTCGTTACCAAGTGAATACTACACCTAAACGTCGCTCTCACTGTGATAAATAAGTTATTAATCTATATACATGTATTATTCTTCCTTACTACTCCAACTTCCAAATGCCTCTCACAATCTTACCTTTTTGTAATTTCACTTGGGTGAATCAATTTTTTTGAAAATCATATAATTATGATTGATTAGCTTAAAATGTAAGTAAAATGTCTACTAAATGCAAAGTAACTCTTTTACCTTTCCCACAATCTAACCTTTTCTTATATCTTGGGTGAATCAGTTTTCTGAAAATCATATAATTATGATGGATTAGCTTAAAATGTAAGTAAAATGTCTACTAAATGCAAAGTCCCTTTTACCATTCCCACAATCTAACCTGTTTTGAAAACTTGGGTTGTTGAATTTTCTGAAAATCATATAATTATGATGGATTAGTCAGTGATGGTGTCACGATTCCTCAGACAACCAAAGACAACCAACTACGACAACGAACTGCGACATGTTGTCAGTATGGACTTCAATGCTGTCTGTACATATTGTAGAACTTGGAATCTTTCATCTTTTCGTCGTGGTAGACACGGTTGAAATATTCGCTCAGCTCTGCAGAAAAGTTGTCCTTCCATGCTCCGATCTTTCCTAAATTTAAAATGACGTCATGATAACCCACAATATCAACATTTACGTACAACACAATTATTTGTTTGTTTGTTGCTTCACAATTTTACAAGACAAGAACAAAACCCGCCATAAGATCCCCGTTAGAATTGGTTTTCAGCAACCCATGCTTGTTGTAAGACTGACTGATTGACTGAGTTTAGTTTTAAGCCGCTTTTAGCAATATTCCAGCAATATCATGGCGGGGGACACCAGAAATTGGCTTAACACATTGTGCCCATGTGGGGAATCGAACCCGGGTCTTCGGCGTGACGAGCCAACGCTTTAACCACTAGGCTACCCCACCGCCGCTTGTTGTAAGAAGTGACTAACAGGATCGGGTGGTCAGGCTCGATGACCTCCTTGACACATTCCTTGTATCCCAGTTGCATAGATCGATGCCCATGCTGCTGATCACTGGATCGTCTGATCAGACTTGATTATTTACAGACCGCCACCATAGCGGGAATATTGCTGAATCAGACCTTTTAACCAATCAGAGAACATACATACTTTAAGGTTAAAATTCAATACTGTACTGAAGCATATTTGTTCTTGCTTGAAAGTTGTCTGGAGGCTTTGGGGGTGAGTGAGTTCGCCATATGTTAGCAATATTCCAGCAATATCACGGCAGAGGAGACCAGAAATATGCCTCACACATTGTACCCATGTGCCTTCAGCATTGTGAGTGGACTCTTTAACAATAGGCTACCCCACCCCCTCCTGGAGTCTTTGGACACTACCCCATGAGAATATTGAATTAAAAACCTCACGGCTCATTAAACTAAAAAACCCTATGACTTCACGGTTGGTTGGTCAGAAAAGGTACCCTGCTGCTGTTCACACTATCAATCACATGTTCAGCCAGTACAGTCCTCCCTTGGAACTGGAATTACCCAAATGTTTTTATAAAAATTATCAAAATGGTCCTGTGTTGAAAACATTCAGCCATTAAAGATACAACAGTGATACAGTAGGGAAATAAAAAGGTTGTTATTGCCTGGAGGCGAGGTGTACGGATTATTGAGGTTACAGTCTATAATACCTTGAACAAAATGAACACTCTTCCCCTCCAGCTTATCTGTAACGGAGTGCTTGTCTCGTATCATGTTGTCAAGGCTACACTTCTCCACGACTCGTCTCCGAAACTTGTCATCTGTTTTCGTGTTGAGAAATTTGTCGATTCTTTCAATTTCTCGAACTGGTTGCTGTAAACATGAAAAGGGATAACACATAACGTCATCGCCAGACGTTTAATCTGTCTGGGTATTCCGGAAGATCGACTGTGGCAAGTAAATAGGAATGAAGAGTTTATGTATGGATCACTGATATCAATGATGACTTTGACAGAATATCAACCCCTGAGGTTATTCAGTCCCAACTATCTGATACCATTAGGCTTTAAAGGAGTGATTGAGTGGGGTAATTCCAGCAATATTCCAGCAATATCACTGAGGGAGACAGCAAGGCCTCATATATTGATTTGATTTGATATTGGTCCCATGCGGGGAATTGATTCCGGGTCTTCAAGTGAACCCTTTAACCACTTGGTTAACACAGTGCCCAGGCTTTACAGCCCCACCCCACCCCAACCCGTCCAGCATTGTTATGCTCATAAACCTAATTGCAGTCACTTAAAACATCGTTGAATGAGTAAAGTTTCAATCAGAGGAGGTTTCTGATGTGCCCAAGGGACAACAAACTACTGGCCAACCTGTTTCAAATCCATCCAATCATAGGTTGCCAATACTCAGGGGTGATTCTGGGATATGGCAATCAGAGGTTTCTGATGTGCCCAAGGGACAGCAAACTACTGGCCAACCTGTTTCCCGACAATCACTTAAAACATCTGTTGAATCATAGGTTGCCAATACTCAGTGGGTGATTCTTGGGATATGGCAATCAGAGGTTTCTGATGTGCCCAAGGGACAGCAAACTACTGGCCAACCTGTTTCCCGACAATCACTTAAAACATCTGTTGAATCATAGGTTGCCAATACTCGGTGGGTGATTCTCGGGATATGGCACCTGGCTGTTTTTCATCATTATACCAAGGTATTGTTGATTGTTCTTCCTGTTATGGATGAACCAGGAAACAAACTCAACCTAATTTTCTGCACTGAACCTGAAATTCTGTTTTGTTTGCTTTTTAACACTGCAGTCAGCAATAATCCAGCTTCATGTCGATCGTCTGTTAATAGGAGTCTAATGCATACAATACAGTGATCAAAACCATGAGCATCGATTTACGCATTTGGGATACGGTGACATATGAGTCAATTAAGTCAGCGAGCCTGAGTCTGATCTGATACCGTTAGCTACCTCTTACAACAAGCATCGGTTGCTGAAGATCATCACGGATACCTGAAATAGTGCTCACATCAGGACAGAAACACTCACTCACTCACTTACTGTCACAAGATCCTCAAAGCGGACCACTAAAATCGATGAGGAGTGCTGAGGATTGACCATGGCCTTCTCCCAGTTCTTCACGTGATCGAACCAGGAGCCCCAATCAACTGTTAAAGGAATATACATAATAAACTATCAAAACAACTCAACTTTTCATAGGGATAATCGGAAATACCATGTGACATTCTATGTGCATATACACATTATGTATGAGAATCACATTTGTGTATCAAGGTGAGATATTCCTGTCAAGATTTGAATTGTACGAACTTATGTAAGGGATAACAAGTAGTTGGCCACCCAAGCCAATGAAGTAGGAACACATACAGGAACACACACACGAATGCATTTACAGGCAGCACAACACAATATATGTACCAACACACAGGAACATATATAGCAGCACGCACAGGAACACATGTACCAACACACAGGAACATAAACAGAAGCAAGAACTGGAATATATTTACCAACACACATGAACATATACAGCAGCACACACAGGAACACATGTACCAACACACAGGAACATATCCAGCAGCACTCAAAGGAACACATGTACCAACACACAGGAACATATCCAGCAGCACACACAGGAACACATGTACCAACACACAGAAACATATACAGCAGCACACACAGGAACACATGTACCAACACACAGAAACATATCCAGCAGCCCGCACAGGAACACATGTACCAACACACAGAAACATATACAGCAGCATGCATAGGTACACATGTACCAACACACAGGAACATATACAACCGCACGCACAGGAATACACAGGAACATATACAGCAGCACACACAGTAACATATACAGCAGCACACAGAGGAACATATACAGCAGCACGACAGTAACATATACAGCAGCACACACAGAGGAACATATACAGCAGCACACACAGTAACATATACAGCAGCACACACAGTAACATATACAGCAGCACACACAGTAACATATACAGCAGCAGCACACACAGTAACATATACAGCAGCACACACAGTAACATATACAGCAGCACACACAGTAACATATACAGCAGCAGCACACACACGAACATATACAGCAGCACACACAGTAACATATACAGCAGCACACACAGTAATATCAGCAGCACACACAGGAACACATGTACCAACACACAGTAACATATACAGCAGCACACACACAGGAACATATACAGCAGCGCACACATGTAACATATACAGCAGCACACACAGTAATATCAGCAGCACACACAGGAACACATGTACCAACACACAGGAACATATACAGCAGCACACACAGTAACATATACAGCAGCACACACAGTAACATATACAGCAGCACACACAGTAACATATACAGCAGCACACACAGTAACATATACAGCAGCACACACAGTAACATATACAGCAGCACACACAGGAACACATGTACCAACACACAGGAACATATACAGCAGCATGCACAGGAATACAAAAGAACATATACAGCAGCACACACAGGAACATATACAGCAGCACACACAGTAACATATACAGCAGCACACACAGTAACATATACAGCAGCACACACAGGAACACATGTACCAACACACAGGAACATATACAGGAGCACACACAGTAACATATACAGCAGCACACACAGTAACATATACAGCAGCACACACAGTAACATATACAGCAGCAGGCACAGGAACACATGTACCAACACACAGGAACATATACAGCAGCACGCATAGGAACACATGTACCAACACACAGGAACATATACAGCAGCACGCATAGGAACACATGTACCAACACACAGGAACATATACAGCAGCACGCATAGGAACACATGTACCAACATACAGGAACATATACAGCAGCACACACAGGAACACATGTACCAACACACAGGAACATATACAGCAGCACGAACAGGAACACAGGTACCAACACAGAGGAACATATACAACTGCACGCACATTAAAAAAATGTACCAACACACAGGAACATATACAGCAGCACGACAGGAACACATGTACCAACACACAGGAACATATACAACAGCACGCACAGGAATACACAGGAACATATAAAGCAGCACACACAGGAACATATACAGCAGCACACAGAGGAACATATACAGCAGCACGACAGGAACACATGTACCAACACACAGGAACATATACAACAGCACGCACAGGAATACACAGGAACATATAAAGCAGCACACACAGGAACATATACAGCAGCATGCACAGGAACACATGTACCAACACACAGGAACAATAACAGCAACATGCACAGGAACATATGTACCAACACACAGAAACATATACAGCAGCACTCACAGGAACACATATACCAACACACAGGAACACATACAGAACCATGCACAGGAACACATGTACCAACACACAGGAACATACAGGAACAGGTGAGGTGAAATTGGGTTTAACGTTGCACTTAAGAATATTTCGCTCATATGACGACGTGCATGCGTGTGTATGTGCGGCTGCTTGTACTAGCCCATACTGAACCTGGTTTTATAGTGCTAGCCCACTGAGATACCATGCCGCAGTTAAGCATGAATACCCCACTCAGACACAGTATACTGACTCCGAGCTGACCAGTCCGTGTTGTACCCATTAATGCCGAGCGCCAGGCAGGGTCCAACAAGTACCATATTTTAACGTCTTTTGGTATGACGCGGCCGGGGATTGAACCTGCGACCTTCTGCTCTCCGGGAGGACGCTCTAACCACTACACCACAGAGGCGGTCGCACATACAGGAACACATATAGCAACACAAAGGAACAAACTGGAATACACACAGGAACATAAAGGAACGTACAAGAACACACATACAGGAACACATACACTAGCACATACAGGAACACATAGAGCAACACACAGAAACAAATGGGAATGCACACAGGAATGCATACGTCAACACACAGGAGCATATATAGCATCATACACAGGAACATACAGGAACACACACAGGAACGCATACGTCAACAGACAGGAGCATATATAGCATCATACACAGGAACACACAAAGGAACATATACAACAACACACAGAGGAACACAGCTACACATACAGGAACATATACAGTCAAATCCCGATGAGTCGAATGCCGGTGTCTCGAATATTATGCATAACTCGAAGTACCTGTCGGTCCCGACCATTCCCTGTTATAGTTGTCATCATTTGAATACCGGTTACACGAATTCGTCTCATAAATACACACAATGACTCGAGAAGGAAATTTGGTCCCATGAGATTCAAACAACAGCAATCTTGTATACATAAGCCGAAGTCAGTCAATGAGAAGTTGATTGGTGTAGCAAACTGATCCAATTAACAAACCAGTGCGGCTCACACCTTTCCGCCATTGACGGGTGAGTTCAAAAGGCAGATTAGTGATTTTACGGAAATCACTGTCTGTGCTAATCAGACTGGAACTGATAAGGTGCCCCTATTAGTGATATGGAAATCATTAGGTAAACAAATGCTTAGGTGGAGGAATTAGGACTGGATCATCTTTTTTTCTACCCTCATAGACATACCTATGTCTCGAATACATCGATAAGTCAAATGTATTACTTGGTCCCCAGCGATTCGACTCATCGGGATTTGACTGTAGTAACACACAGGAACATACAGCAACACACATGAACACATACAGTATCACACACAAGAACACACAGCAAGACACATAGGAACACACAGCAAGACACCGGAACACATACAGTAGCACACTTGGGAACACATACAGCAACAAAAATACACTGATGGGAACACATACAGCAACAAAAATACACTGATGGGAACACATACAGCAACAAAAATACACTGATGGGAACACATACAGCAACAAAAATACACTGATGGGAACACATACAGCAACAAAAATACACTAATGGGAACACATACAGCAACAAAAATACACTGATGGGAACACATACAGCAACAAAAATACACTGATGGGAACACATACAGCAACAAAAATACACTGATGGGAACACATACAGCAACAAAAATACACTAATGGGAACACATACAGCAACAAAAATACACTGATGGGAACACATACAGCAACAAAAATACACTGATGGGAACACATACAGCAACAAAAATACACTGATGGGAACACATACAGCAACAAATATACACTGATGGGAACACGTACAGCAACAAAAATACACTGATGGGAACACATACAGCAACAAAAATACACTAATGGGAACACATACAGCAACACACACATGAATACATGCAGCAATGCACACCACAACACACATAGGAGCGTGCAAACATACGTTTGCCATTTAGGAATAACTTCATCCAGTCTGCAAGAGGACATATCTCAACCTCTCTGTCCCGAAAATACTTTTTCATCAGCTGATACCAAGAGCAGGTGACATCTCGTGGGTCTCTCAAAACATAAACAATTTTCAACTTCTTTTCCAGTGCCGCTTTGGGGAGAAGTTCAAAATGCATGTGTCCATTGAGAACTCGGGGTAAAGGAAGATGTGCAAGCTTCTCATTGGATCTTTGCTCGATGTGAAAGTCTTCCTTCCTGTAGGGTATCGTGTCGTCACACTTCCTCAACAGCATGTTGATTACTTCAAAACACCAGTGAGTCCCTGCCACATGGAAGAAGATCGTAAACGACAGGGACTAAATAAATAAAAGAAGAAGACAAAGTCATCAATATCCCCCGCAATGGCAAAATACTCTTCATGAATATGTCTACTAGTTATGATTATGTCACTTGTTTTGGTGTGTACATGTATATGGCAAAGTGGAAGGAGAGTATTGAAAGGTTTTTAAGTTCTGCTCCAGAAAGGAGCACTACCACAAAATTCAGTCGAAGCCAAATTTGTTGCCATGGAAACACAAAAAGCATTTTATTCAGAATTTCAAAACTACCAAAAGGCACCAGTACACCACCAGACCTATCCATGTGCCAAGTTTGGCGAAGAAATATTGTTGCCATGGAAACACAAAAAGCATTTTATTCAGAATATAGCAAAACTACCAAAAGGCACCAGTACACCACCAGACCTATCCATGTGCCAAGTTTGGCGAAGAAATATTGAACGGTTTTAAAGCTCTGCTCTGGAAAAGCTAAATGTGCACGCACACACGCACGCACGCACACACGGAGCACATTTTAATACCGCCCGCAAAACGTGTTGCGGGGGATAATAATCGTCTCAGAAAATGCTTGAAAAAAACCATGTATGCTTCAGACTGTTGAACAAAGAACACATTGTCTGCCTCATAAAATGCATATTTTCAAATGCTATTCATTATTCAATAGGCTTATAGTTTTAATGTTTTCCAGCTATAGCTGCTGCCATACAAAATCCCAGCTAATGACCAGGAAGGTCATGAGTTTCGTATAATTCGTATGTAATGAGACCGAGTGTGGTATTTTATTTATTACCCACGTCTGACATGCATTAAATTGACAAAATAGCGTATTTTTGTTCTTATTTTGGTTTCAAAAAGAAACCGGTTTCATAAAGAGGTTGCGGAAGAGTTTTGTACTGTAGTACAATATTTGCATGACGTCACACTGTAATGACGTCACTGCCATGGTAACCGACGTTACGATGCATGTCAGTTGCCATCGCCTCGTACAGTAAACTACTCCGTAGCACCGCGTTTCTTTGTTTGCAGTTGCATCATTCGGCTAACATCACTGATGGAAACATTGCGCTTATGTTTTTCGACAGATATAATGTCTCAGTTCGACTCACAATTAAACAGCGACACGGCAACGATCATAATGTTTACATTCCCACAATGCATTTAAGTTGTAGAATGAATGAATTCACGTGTTTGTTATGAATAAAAAGTAGTTACGTCAGAATGTGACCTAATTGAGAGGTCATCGGTTATCCAATCAAATCGTTAGAATCTCAGGTCAAGTCGTTACGACACAGGTCAACGCGGTACGACACTTGTGTGACGCACGAGATTAGTATGCAACTACCCATACGTTGACCACGTGGGTAATAAAACCAATTATTGATCAAGGCAAAGTATATATCATGATATATACGTGTAGATATACCATAGTATACATGGATAAACATTGCTTTTGATTGGACACTTTCTGAGTACTAATAAATACATGTCGGCTGAAATCCAGGCTTGACCAAGAAAGTCACCTTTGACAAATGTTCTATTAAAAGATCACTGAGAACATGTGATGACACCATAGTCCTGTCTCTCACACACAACTTTCACAGAGAGTTGGTTTGTTTGTTTGTGATTCACATTATGTGAATGTTATCTCATAGTTCTGTAATAAATCAAAACTTACGTTGACAAACATACAAGGACTGAAGTCATATGAAATAACTATTCAGAAGATGTCCTTAATAAACAGGGGTCTTGTCTTGCTGCAGACAAAGTAAAACTGCATTGTCTACTAAGATTTCCGATTCCATGTAAACAAGAAATGAGTGAGTCTACTTTTACGCCTTCAGATATATCCCAGGGCTCGATTTAAGAGATGTTCACCTACTCGCACCAGGAGCAACTAGAGATGAAAGCCTAGTTGCACTGACCAAATTCCAGTTGCACTGCTTTTATTGTGATATGTAATGAAAGAAATATGCTATTGAATTATTTAGGTGTTTTATTCAGAGGTTTACCCACTCAAAAATTGACCTGGTGCAAGTTAGACTAATAACTAGGTTGCATTTTGCAATATTGGATTGCACCAGTGCAAGTAACAAAGCAATAAATCGAGCCCTGTATCCAGATTATATGCTGGGGGTGTCGCATATTTTACACATGAGAGGAATTGAAATTTTTCTCAGGATTGATGCCAAAACGGTTATACAATTTCTTCCTTAACACCAGTTATTATTTTAATAAAGGACACACATTAGTACAAGGTGTTATTTACCAGATCGCATATATCCACACAACATTACGTCATCATCGTTCATGTCCACATCCATCATGTTCCGGATGATCTCCTCATCAAAGACGGATGGGTAGCGAACGCCGTTTACTTCCAGTATTGGGTATTTCGCTTTGCGGGTCATTCTCGGGTGACACGTATATAATTGGCATGATTGTAGAATGCTCAAGTATCAAATGTGATGCAGATCAAGAAAAGTGTCCAATCTGCAAATAAGAACATGAATGCCTATGAATATTATGTTTACCATTCTATAATACAAGATATTTTCTCGTCTACTGCTTCAACACAAGATACACAGACAGCGTATTCAGTACAATGGCCATAAATACAAATGTTTGATTGGATGAATTACATTTGAATGAAATGACTGCTTGAGTTTCTCTGGGCTGTTTGACTTTACATGAATCTGAACATGTGTCATATACAGCATCTGACTTCAGGTGACAGTTTTAGATACAGCTGTTACAGTTTGAGAGTTGCTATCCTGTTTATTACAATTATGTTTCAGAGATGAAATATCCTCACAAACAAGCAATACATGCAGAGCATCAATATCAATGTCAATCATGGATCTTTTATAGGTGCTTCATGTCTTTGAATGGTATTTTGAAGTAACACATATATGGAAGAGAGTTTTATGGATGTCAACTCCATGTGGGGAATAGAACCCAGGTCTTCGGCATGATGAGCGAACGCTTTAACCACTAGGCTACCTCACCGCCCTCATAAAAAATGAAGCGTTATGGATGTCAACTACTTTATTATGAGGAAAATAACGTTTCGGAGTATATACTTACTGGGGCGGTGGGTTAGCCTAATGGTTAAAGCGTTGGCTCGTCACCCCGATGACCCGGGTTCGAATTCCCACATGGGCTCAATGTGTGAAGCCCATTTCTGGTGTCCCCTGCTGTGATGTTGCTGGCATATTACTTAAAGCAGCGTAAAAACCAAACTCAGTCAGTCAGTATATACATACTCCTTCGTCAGGTGAAGTAAGTAAGAGTAAGTATCTACTCTGAAACATTGTGTTCCTCATATTAAGAAGTTGACATCCATAACGCTTCATGTTTTATGAGGGCGGCTGTGTAGCCAAGTGGTTAAAGTGTTCGCTCGTCACGCCGAAGACCCGGGTTCGAGTCCCCACATGGGTACAATGTGTGAAGCCCATTCTGGGGTCCCCCGCCCTGATATTGCTGGAATATTGCTAAAAGGGGCGTAAAATTAAACTCACTCACTCAGGTTTTATGTTACTATATTTTATGTTGACTAATTTCTTTGGTTCATTAATTATCCAGGTATAACATCTGGCAATATGTATGCAAGTCAACTCACATAAATATCAAAGTACTTAACTAAATTTCCAATTTTGGGGGTGTACAGGGCCTATAAAATATGCAAATATGAACAGCAACTTTCAGGTCATAAATAGCAATAAAAACCAATTAGGTCAGTTTCATGTTGAACTTGAATTGAGTATCACAGCTGGTCTCTAAAATCCAAAAACGTGTTCATTTAATCCTAGCATTTATCTTGCAAGTCACTATTGCAACAATCCTTTTACCCTTTTCAATACAACTCGTACCCACCTGTCTGCAACGGGCCTGCATTAGAAGCTACCAAGTAAGCTGTCACTCAAACTCCTTTGTAATCTGAAGCAAGGAATAACTCTCTAGCACAGAACATATAAATGCAATTCAAGACATGACTATAGCATTATGTGTTTATCAACTGCACATGAAATTCAACTTTAATAAAGGATCAACATTTTCTGACAATAATTAGTTTTAATTATTAATGTAATTTAAATGTTCAGTGTATGGGACTTTTGTATATCCCCCTAAATCATCTTTAAGGTTTAACCTGGTTTTATATGAAGCAAGTCAGGCAGATTCTCAGATGTACTAAGATAAGACATGTAAGATAGTATTCTTATTTAATAGGAATATGATATGAATGGGACGAATCAAATCAATAGAAGGAGATACGACTAGATTGATTTCATCACAAAAAGTCTTTAACCAAAATTACTTTGGATCACTGAGTCTGTTTTTCCTTGAAAGATCAAACTATCATAAGGAGAATCAACAACATCTCCCAGAAAAGAGTCAGTAATGTCATCACGGATGTAATCCGTAGGGCTGCTCAATATAACCGGTTTACCGGTATTTACCGGTTCACACATGAAACCGATACGTATTGCGATACCAGTATTTGATCGAAAACCGGTATTTTGACTTGCATTCGAAAAACTTCGTAACACTCGGAAATCCTTATATATTTCCTTTTTTCATTTTTGCCAAAAATAATTCACATTTTTATTTTTAATCATGAATAAAAGTTGTTATTAAAGCTTAATCAAGCATAGTGATTTTGCAGTGCATTTGCTCTATAAATCAAGCATTACCTCGATTATAAGTAGTTTTTTGTGTAAAAATACTTCACGCAATATATTGCAATACATGCTTTCGCATCGCAATATATCGCAATATGAAAATTCTCTGCAATACACATCCCTAGTAATACGTTATCTTTAACGTAAGGTCACCAGAAAAGGCCATATATGCTAACATAATTTTCAGAGATGACTGTCTTTATTCGTATTACCTGATGAAATACAGGGAATACCATCACAATCCAATGACAAACAAAATCTTTTGAATAAATACACAATAGCATTTTCAAACTTATCAAAGTTGATCACAAAGTCAACATTAAAGGTAAAAGCAACAACAAACACAACAAAGGTGAAGATACATTACTGTAAAGATGTAATTCTAATTAGTTGCTGAATATTGGGATGAGTGAATTCCATTTAATATTGAAATTTTCAATTTCATTGTTTCTCTTTGAAAAAAAAAATTCTACGGAAAATATCTCCTTTAATACCTTTTTATAATTAATGAATTTTGGAATTGACTTTTTAATATTACATAAATTGATATGTTTTTTGGCAGAGAAATGATTTGATTTAGTAATGCATCATTATGCAATGTACCAAACCAAATCAAATATTTTGTAATGTTTATTTTTCATGGCAAGTGGTTATTAATCCAGAGTTACAGATCATTCCAGAATTTCCTGCTTTCACAACATTCCCAAAAAACATAACAAATGCTCTCAGAAAGGTCATTGCAAAAACTACACAAATCATTGTCAATCAGGTTCATTTTCAATAATTCTTTTTTCGTATAAATAACTCTTTGCAAAATCTGTATTGAAAATGAAGAAGTTAACATCTTTTAATGCCTGTCTATAGAAGTTAATTTTTTTGTGCCAATCAAATTCACAATCACTGAATATCATTTCCCATTTAGTACAAATTTCAAGTTTATCAGCTAGTCATAAAATAATCTTGAACCCTTTGAGAGCTTTAACATATTTCTTTGGTAAACATTGATGTATAAATTGTAGGAAGGAATGATTCTTGTCCCTTTAATAACATTTTTCCAAATATCAGGTAAGATGTGAAGTAGATAGTTAAAGTCTAATAGTGTCCCTCTTATTTTGTATTTTATCTTTAACTTATCAAAAGGCATAAATCCATGTTCATCACATAAATCTTTTACTGTCAATAAACCCTTATCTGCCCAGTGTCTAATAACATGGCAAAGGTTTTTATAATTATGATTGAGCCATAATGGTTCTGCAAGAATGAGATCAATATTGTCAGAATCAGCATTAAACTTTTTGCAATAATTGTTCCATTCTTTTAAAACATCCAATTAGCAGAGCTCCAGATAAGGTTTAGCTCATGTGGGTACTGTACCCACTGTATATTTTTGGAGTGGGTATTATGAATGTTGAGTGGGTATTTCATTTTCAGTTACCCACTGCTTTCAAATATGTGGGTATTTCAGTCATTTTACTCACCTAAGTATTGTGTCATTGAGTAAGTTTACTAAGCAGGTATGTTCTGCCTCATGTCATACCTAATTAAAACCAACTTAAATATAATGGAAATGATTCATAAAATATCACTCATCCTATACTGACAGTACAACACTTGTCCTATACTAACAGTACAACTTGATAGCAATCGATGTCTTTTTCATTGCGCAAGCTATTTTTATAATATATTCTGTACGCATTTGTTTTAAACTTTTTACGTATCTAACATTTTAAATGCGTAATTGGTACGCAGCAATTATTTTTCAATGCGTAATTGGAAATTTTCTATGCGTATTTTACCCGGATACGCAGCTTATCTGGGCCTCTGAATAAGGGTTTTCAATGTTGAGTATTCTGTCAACATTTGCTCCATACTTGAAGATATCATTATAAGGTATATTACAAGGAGTATTCTTGGATTATTTTTTACAGTAAAGTCTAAGAGTGGATAATTTTACAGCTTCAATAAATGTTTTTATATCAACCATATCCAGTCCCCCTTCAATCTATAATCTTTTCATTGTGATTCTTTTTATTTTATCATTCCAAATGAAGTTGAAAACAAAATGTTCGAGGGATTTGATAAAGTCATCTGGAGGATTGGGCAATGAACAGAAAATATGTACTAATTTTGAAATGGCTCATGTTTTTATGACAGTACTTTTTCCTATCAATGTCAAATGTCTTTTTCTCCATACTGCTAATAATCTGTTTACTTCTAGTCTTTTCTTGTATTAATTACCCATAGATCAGCAAGGTTTGGGGTAAATTTGATTCCCAGCACATCAAACTCTCCATTATACCATTCAATTTTCATTTTTTTACATAATATTTCTTCACTACCTGCCTTTGAGCCAATCCCGATTGCTTTAGTCTGATCTATATTTATAAGACCTGACATCTTATAAAAGTATTGATTGTTTCAATAGCTGCATAAAGTCTCTCATCTATACCATCAAGAAATAATTTGGTATCATCAGCAAATTGGCCTAACTTGTATTCTTCATCAATGACAATGCCTTTTATTCTATCATTATTTCTTATCATACATCCCAAGATTTCATCTACAATGAGGAATAAATATGGTGATAAGGGATCTCCCTGTCTACAACCCCTTTAATTTTTTAAGAATTCAGATAAGTGGCCATTTTGTGTCATGCAAGAAGTTGTGTGATATGTTAGGAGAGTAATCCTGGCATATTTCTTTTTTTTTTTTTTCAAACATGATGTCACATAATAATCTTGTATTTTCACTAATAGTTCTACCTGCAATAAACCTGTTTGGTTTTCATGTATAAGTAAGTCTGAAGTCTCTTTCACACGGTTTGTTATACATGCACTTAGTATTATATACACATGCACTTAGTATTATATACACATGCACTTAGTATTATATACAAAGCATTCAAAAGAGTGATTGGTCTCCAATTTTTAAACTGAGCTAGTAAGTAATAGTCAGCTTATATGGTGCTCATATCCAAGCACATTGCCTGCTCACGGCGCTACATACATTACTATCCCCGGTCATAGGACACTATCGTACTTTCCGATACTTTTTCAACTCCCTGGGGATCATACAGCCATGCTGCCTGTTAGGCGCAATGAACTAAACTCACATTGCCAGCAAATCCTCACGGGTACCCATTTTACAGCTGCATGAACTGAGACAATGTGGATGTGAGTATCTTCTCCAAGGATACTCGCAAATGTGCCCACCTCGGGACCCGAACCTAGGTGCCTCCACCGGGGATCGAACCCGGGCCTTCAGTGTGATAGGCAGACACCTTACCACTGCACTATTGTGCTCAACTGAGTTCTATCTTTATTTGCTTTGCACATGCATGTTATAACCCCTCTCTTCATTGTCAAAGATAATTCATTCTTAATAGAAACATCATTAACAAATCGGGAAATCCATATTTTAAGGTCTTCCCAGGAAAAATGAAAGAAATCAATTGGGAATGCATCAATATCAGGACTTTTACTGCTTTTCATATTTTTCACTGCAAAGGCAATTTCATCCTTATCAATATCTTTTTCGAGTTCTTCCCTTAATTCATTATTGTTTCAACATTCTGTAAATTAACATTTTGTTCCAAATTGCTTTTTGATGAATAGAGAGTCTTATAAAATGTTCTCAGCTGCTTTAAGATATAAATGTTATCTGTAAAGTGTAATCTCCTCGTTTTTGTCAGTAACAACTTAATTTATAGATTTGCTGAGAAACGTTTTTTCTTCTAGATTACAAAAGTATTTGGTCGGTTTTTCTCCTTCATACCATAAAATCCTATTTCTAATCTGAATACCTTTTAATTCCTCTTCCCTTATCTGTTCTAATTCCATCTTATGTTTTGAAACTTCTGACAGCATGGCCTCATCTTTATTTTGGAAATCTTTCATAGTCTTCACAGTCTTTTATTTTTATTTCAAATTCAGTAGTCTTATTATTTTTATCCTTTTTAAAAAAAGATGCAAAAGAGATAGCATTTATTTTAAGTTTAACCTTATCACAATTCTGATCAATATTGTTGATCTCAGATGAAGGAGTAATGGTATTAAATTTCCAATAACCCTTGCCTCTTTTCTGATTAACAGTGTTTGAGAGGGTTAATGATATAGCTGAATGGTCTGTTTTATAACCTGGTAAGATATCAGAATCCAAAGTTATATCAAACATATCGTGAGAAATCAGGAAACAAATCAAGTCTAGCTTGTTTCCTTGGATTCTTTTACCACCATGTATATTTTCTAGTATTCTTGTTCAATTTCCTCCATACATTTAAAAGGTCATAATTTTGTAAGTTTTCCATCACAATATCCCTTGATTTAGGATTATTTAAATATTTGTAATTTTCCAAAAACAAGATTCCAATCTCCAAAATTTACTAATGAATCATTGTCTGGGGAAAATATATTTTCAAATAGCTTGATATAGACATTAGGATCATCATTGTTTGGTCCATATCAGTTTGTTGATGTAAATCTTTTGTAGTAATGTCTACAGTAATGAAATTGCCATCTTCATCTTCAATGGTTTTGTGGATAGTAAGATCTACATCATTATTAAAGAGTATTGCCACTCCCATGGCGTCAGATCTGAAAGGTGCTATGATACTTTGAAGTCCCCATTCATTTCTCATAATATTGATGTCATCTTTAGCTAAATGGATATCTAGTAAATAGTGGGGCAGCCTAATGGTTAAAGCGTTGGCTCGTCACGCCGAAGACCTGGGTTCGAATCCCCACAATGTGTGAAGCCCATTTCTGGTGTCCCCCGCCATGATGTTGCTGGAATATTGCTAAAAGCGGCGTAAAACCAAACTCAGTCAGTCAAGTAAATAGATAATTGAGTAACACTTTTTTCTATGAATATTCATAACTTCCCTTTGTTTGTTTTTATCCCCTAGTCCTCTACAGTTTGCTGAAATCATTTTTATCTTTTGATGTTATCTGTAGACATTTATTGTCTCAGAAAAGTATATAATTTGACGTGAAGTAAAACAAAGTATGAATTGGGATGGCAAGGCAGTGTTTTAGTTGATTTTCTGAAATGAGGGTAGGCTCAAAGTATAAATTTGCTGAAGTTTTTGGGCTTTTGCTATCACTCAAGCTGAAATTAAAACAATTGAATTGAGAATAAATACAAGGTAAAAAGATGAGAAACGGTCATATACATTCAGTAACTGAGAAAATCTGTACAACAAAGCAATTTGAACCTGATAGGAACAAACTTTAGTCAACAAGTGAGGAAATGAAATAAATAAACAAAGAAACATGAAAAACTTAAAACAAAAGAAAACCCGAGGCCTGCTCTTTCACTGAATACTCCATATATAAATAAATCATCCCAAATGTGGAAAATGAAATATATAGATGTCAGCTGGCAATCATTATCGCTCGTGGTGTAGATACTGTATTGTTGTACAGTAGGAATTATACGGAACTCGGTAACCGTACTCGGCTAGGTATTCGGTAAAACCAGAAGGCCTCAATGGATGTCAAAGTCTTAGTAAAAACAAATGTACATCTGTGAAGTAGAACAGTAACGCTGTCAATACGTATCTGTTGATATATTTCAACGTACTCATTTCATGTGAAGCAAGATATCGCACTTGTCACTCACGTTGGCTCACAGGCTGACGGTCCCAAAACATCCGGTTAATAGTCTCGGAGTGAATGCGGTCTAAAAATAGCAAAGCACGTGTCAATGTTATGTTAACAACTGTGAATGTATCATGGTCACTTCTATAATCCTATTATCTGATTGTTCAAGGTGGTTGCACATTTAGGGCACATAAAATTCATGTCCATCTTTATTATAGTCAGCGAAAAAACAAAAGGGGCAGTGTCACAAACCAAGTGAAATTGAGAGAACCAGGGTGCCTCATCCATATCAATGTCTAATGTTCTACACTGTTGCTGGGGATTCTTTCTCACTTGAAGAGACAGCTCAATTCCCATTTCGAGGATCCTTGTTTGCAACCTGTATTTCTTTCTCGAAGGCGCGATTAGCAAGTCGACCTCTCTGTTTTTAGAAGCACTGGCACATCCGTACGAATAGTAACTTTCTTCTCTTTTAGTGAAGTAAAGTTTCTCAGTGCAGCATTAAACACAATTTGCCTCTACTTTTACAAACTTTACAACAATAGGTTTTGACATCGATGCTCTGAAATTCACAGGATCCGTGCTCTTACGAGGTAATCTATGCACGTTGACAAACAACATCTCAGCTGCATCTTTAACCCCCATCGCGCCGAAGGTCTCTCTACCTGCCAACTCGGAATCTTTATAGTCGGGTACACCATATATCAATAAATTGCTCTTGCGGGAATATAGTTCTTGAATTAATAGCTTCCTTTCGAAGTCTGCCTTCATTTCTTTCATATCCGACTTCAGGTTGTTTAGTTCGCTTGTGTTCGCTTGTGTTCGATTCTATTTCTTCCGCATTGAATTGAACTAAGGCCAAAATATCATCTGTTTTAGCGTGGATATCTTTGATTTCGTTTCCCATAGTGTCCAACCTACTTACTATTTAAGTAGTTTGTTCTCCGAAGGCGAGGGCAATGAACTGCTTCAGGTCTGATCTCTCGGTGTCGTCATGAGCAATGGCTGCCTGCCTACCCGGCGTGTTCATCATGTCAGATGAAGTATTTGGGTCTGCTCTGGGCTGCTGCTGAAATTCGGCCTCTTGTGTGACCGATCGAGGGTTTGAAATACATTCAGAGAGATTCTTGCCCCTAATCCGTCTCCTTTTGTTGGACATATTTGCTTAATTTCTGGATGTATCGAGAGCGAGCAAAATTAACATGCGACCATGAGCACAGCGCCACCGGAAGCTCCATAAACTTATCAAAGTTTGCATAAGTATCCACCCTCTAACCTGTGGGAACTCAACGAAGCGTCTCCCAAATGACTCACAAATCCAGTGGAAAATTATCTAAAACATTTTACCTGAGTGGCGGAACATCATGTCCCCGCATGCGTTCTATATTCCTTCGTGGTCGTCGCACCATCTACCTGATTTGACAACATTGGGAGTTGCCTGCACTGAAGTGTGTGTGTCTCACGTGCTACACTAACTACATCACTCCAGAGACGATCCGCGGACAAAAAGGTGGATGTGTTCCACTATCGCTGACTTTTTAAAAGTAGGTCGGTAATTCACGTCACAACCTGTGATTATCTGTGGTAAATTCTGTGACTCGTTATCGGGGATTCACAGGGGCTTGTAACGCTAAAAAGTGCCATCAAGTTATGTACTGTCACTCACGGGGTCTTGCCACTATATAGAAGGAAAGGGTGTAACGAGGTCAACACACCAAGTTCGTTTCAGGGCGAATTCAACAATGCCCACTGTATTTATCCCATTAAAAGTGTGCACACATTTTAAGCCAACAGATTTACCTACAAAATGAAACAAACAGCACAAAATTCGAAGCAGATTGAATATTACACTCCTTTCCTTTTATATAGTGCTAAGACCCCGTGAGTGACAGTGCATAACTTGATGGCAGTTTTTAGCGTTACAGAAACACCGAGGACAAGTGGGGTTGGTCTTGTTAAAGCTCATCACGTACCGCACGTACATTTGTTTCACTGTTCCAACTACTGCGGGGCAGCCTAGTGGTTAAAGCGTTCGCTCGTCACGCCGAAGACTCGGGTTCGATTCCCCACATGGGTACAATGTGTGAAGCCCATTTCTGGTGTCCCCCGCCGTGATATTGCTGGAATATTGCTAGAAGCGGCGTAAAACTAAACTCACTCACTCACCCACTCCAACTACTGCGCTTTCCCCCTTGTAATACAAACCAATAATAGCGATTTGAATCTATTATCATATTAAACATCTTTTATCCTAAGTTGAATAAAATTCTGAGATTTAAATGTTCATTTGGCAAGGTAAAATTATGAGGATTCGCAATCGTAATTTCATTTTGTTTCGTTCACTTTTTTGTTTAAATTGAAATTCATCGGTACGTTTTCACTGCAAACAGGCTATACCTCTGACATGTGTCCCTGGTAACCTGAGAACCATTTCCCTGGGTAACTTAAACCCGTTTCCCTGGGTATCTCTGACATGTTACACAAGGTACCTGAGACCCGTTAGGTACCTCGTATCTGAGAAATGTTTCCGTTGGTATCTGGGACGTGTTACAATGGATATCTTGCACCTGTTACTCTGGGTGCAAAAGGTACAAGAAAATCCGGTTGCAAAACTTTCAAACCGTATCATAACTTACTTACTACAGCTGATAGGAATCCCCCGACGCCAGTCCGTTCTGTGATCCGGCTATGACCAAAATATACTTCTCACAAAAAGTTAAGCAACACAATATTTTAGTCTCATTACGTTGTCATTAATAGATATTGCAAACCATGTAATGATGCAATAGAAAGGTGAAACATATGTACACACTGTTAACAAAATGAAATGAAATGGTATTGACCAATAATAGACTTACAAATTATCAAAAGCTTGTACCTGTGAAACAGTCGTGCAAAATGTGCTGCACTGATGGAGCAAAATGTTCACATTAGGGTTCAAGTCAGTGTTGGACAGTGAAGCAGTGTTCAGTAATGCCTTTAAAGTGGCTGTTATGGAATGATCTGCCATTCTCTGTGTAACGCCTTCTCAAGGTCATCCAGAGTCTGGGGGTGAACATGGAGACCATATACACGACTTCCAATAATGCCCAAGCATGTTCAATGGGATTAAGATCAAGTGACCTTGCAGGCCAGTCCATATGTGTGATGTTGTTGATCTAAACAACCTAATTTACAACTCTTTCTCGGGCTTTATCATCCATGGACGGGCATTATCATCCATGGACGGGCATTATCATCCATAAAAGGGAAGTTAAGACACCCATGTTGTACCAGAGGAATGATCACAGGTAAGTTTACACCGATCAGGGTGCATGTGTGAAGAGTGGAGCACATTCATGCCACACATTTCGTACGTTGTTTCTGAGGGTGGTTGTGTTCGGGTGATGTTGTCAATGTTATCAGATAAATCAATTTGACAGTCACTAAAGGTTATGTATTCTTTGAATATTTACCTTTCAGTAACATGTCGGTAACAATCGCTGTCGAGATTGAATAAGATATTATACTGAAAATACTTGTTGCTTAATTTTTTGTGAGGAGTATAATACATTAAGGTCAGGACTTGGTTCAGTCTTCACAAGGAACAGTTTTTTGACATACGTAATCACGTGTCTTGTTCCGACCACGTGATTTTCATCTTAACAACAAATTATTTGTTCCGCTCCATATGCGTCATTCGTAATTACTCGTGTCATTCCAGCAAGCCGGATGGCGTCTCGTACCCCTCTCGTGGCCATGTTTACGACTGGGCCCTGTCTAAGCGCAAACGGGCATGGAGATGAAAATAGTGTAATACTATTGGCAAGGAAAGATAGCTCTGAATTTCCAAACATGGCTTCTAGAATATCCTATATCCCGTGGGCAAAACGGCAATACAGTCATTCCCTTTGTAAATATGCTTCAGTGTTTAAAGTTTCTGATCCTTTAGCTCAAAGTTTATGTTTAACTTGTGCTTTGCATAGTTTAGCAAAGTTTCAAAGTTCAACGGTGCCGCCATTTTCATTCTTCGATATGCGTTTTACTACGCGCGATTTGATTAGTTTGCCACGATTCTTGGCAATAATGGCGTACGATAGGGGGTACGAGTTTTCTTGTAGGTCACGGAAAGAGGCGAGTAGTTACGAATGCATATGCATCTGTCATGTTATATAACTAATCTTCCAGGATATCGTCATTATCACTGAAATATTCTTACTATGAATAGTGACCAAGTCTACTTGACGCACTGTATGGTATCGCAGATGGCAAAGGTCTGTGACCCTGGATACTGTCGTAACTACCTATTGATATGACCGTTCCACAGTGTTCTGGGGAGATGTAAGCTCAAGCTCTTCGTTCGCTTGGTCCAGTCACAATATGGCTGAAATATTGCCAACGTGACTATATATTATAACTCACTCACTCAATGCGAGGATCGACCAGACATAGTTCAATATTCAACCACTGGCTAATATAAGTCATTTAGTCGGCGCTGTGGGTGGTGTTCCGTCTGTGGTAAGTTCTTCATTTGCTCTTGGTGTTAACTAAACGCAACTTGTGTTTGCAACCAACGATATGTATACAACGCGAAGTTAATAAACACTCAATTGTTTCATCGTACCGTAGTTAGTTTGTTAAATGTTCTTGTAATCCTATGAGTAGTATATGCTGTTTAAGGGTCACAAATACATTTCAATAATCACGATATGCAATGCCAGTACCAGACCATCATTCTCGAACAATTGCAGAAACAGTTTCAGTTGGACTCAAAAGGCAACAACGCGATGACAATTACATGACAACTCTTGTCCTCGAAGTAAGCATGCGTTGCCGGTCGTCCCCGCTACTCATACAGTTAGACTGACTGACTGAGTTTGGTTTTACGCCGCTTTTAGCAATATTCCAGCAACATCACGGCGGGGGACACCAGAAATGGGCTTCACACATTGTACCCATGTGGGGATTCGAACCCGGGTCTTCAGCGTGACGAGCCAACGCTTTAACCACTAGGCTACCCCACCGCCCCCATACAGTTAGAATAAATGATAAGTGAAATGTCTACAAGTTTCGTTTAAACAATTTTTATTCATAAAGTGAAATGGATCGGGAACAACTTATAAAACCCTCTCCGAAAATATTTACAATAGCAAATCATTGGAAACAGACACAATGAAAGATTAACAGTTCTGGGGAAATATTATGATACAAAAAATAAAGGTGTATGGAATGAAAACTGCTGGAATGGTTTTGATTTATTTATATACTGATGGACAGTTTTGAAGTATTATCATTTACTTTCATTTTTATGATTTCAATTGTCAGATCAGCAATGCCGTTTAAAAGAACTGATTATTATAGGATATTTAGATTGCTCACATATCCAAGCAACTAGAGCTTGCTCGAAGCGATGGTATTTTCCCCTCGATCGTTGGATGTCAATCTCAACGGCACATCGTATTACCAATCTCAACTCACTTGGGAATATACAACTCTTGCTACCTCTAGTTTAGTGTGGCCTTCTCATCCTAACGAGGTACCCATTCACAGCTGGGTGGACTGGGACACATAGTCACAGTACTTTGTCCATGTTCACTGCACGTTGCTGTACCCGCAACTAGGTGTTTGCACGTATTCATGTGGCCACCATCTGGTCATATACCAACGGGATTCGTGGGTTCTTTTAAGTGCACAGGGTTGTGTACTGTACACTAGGGTTTGTGACAACACGGAAAGAGTCTGCACACAAAGTTGACTCCAAGGTTTTTACTTCCGGTCACAGGTCGGCTCGATCCCGACACCTCAACCTCGCTGGATCACTAGCCTGGCGATTTAGCCTGCTCGCCCATCGCGCCCCAGATAATGTAATCACAGAATTACAATCACAGACATCTTCCACAGCTTTGAGCATGATCTGTCTATGTTGATTGTATAATGAACACTCTAAGATATAATGGTGAGCATTTTCGCATGGGCTACCACATGCGCAGGGTCGATTTGTGATTAACCGTACTCTTTACAGACCGTAACTTAATCTGTTAGCTCTATGACGTATTTGCGTATGTAATATGTTCATTTGTCTAATACCGTAAGAAAAGTACAGCTGAGTTATAGGATGATTCGATTTGAATTTTGATAGTTAAGTAGAATTTCTTAATCCACAATCGAATCGTCGATGGGGAAAACAATTCGTGAGAAATGTTTTTTCTTGTTCTTGGCAAAGAGATATTGTCTTAATGCATTAAATTATAATCATTAAGCGTCAAATGTCGTCAAACTTTGACTTCTTGAAGGATTACAATATATGGATGAACAACTTCTTTATTACAGTGAGAGCGACGTTTCAGTGTAGGTTCTGACGTCGTTACAGTATCCACCGAAACTTCGCTCTCACTGTGATAATTAAGTTGTTCATCTATATATTATCATTCCTTACTACTCCAGCTTCTAAATGCCTCTCACAATCTTTCTTAACTTCACTTGGGTTAATCAATTTTCTGAAAATCATATAATTATGATGGATTAACAAAATATATTAGTGAAATGCCTACTAAATGCAAAGTTTCTTTTACCATTCCCACAATGTAACCTTTTCTTATATCATGGGTGAATCATTTTTCTGAAAATCATATAATTATGATGGATTAGTCAGTGACGGTGTCACGATTCCTCAGACAACGAACTGCGACATGTTGTCAGACTTGCTGTCTGTACATATTGTCGAACTTGGAATCTTTCATCTTTTCATCGTAGACACGGTTGAAATATTCACTCAACTCTTCAGAAAAGTTGTCCTTCCATGATCCGATTTTTCCTAAATTGAGAATCACGTCATTATAACCCAACAGACACATATTTACGTACGACATAATCGTTTGCTTGTTTGTTGTTTAACAATTTTAAGAGACAAGTACCAAATCCGATAAGATCCGTGGTAGAATTTGTTTTCAGCAACTCAAGCTTGTCACACGAGACTATCCGAGATGGCAATAACCCATGCTTGTCGTAAGAGGCAACTAACAGAATAAGGTTGTCAGGCTCGATGAACTGTTTGACACATGTCATCGTATCCCAGTTGTGTAGATCGATGCTCATGCTGTTGATGACTGGATTGTCATATGGCTGAAATATTGCTGAATCAGCCGTTAAACAACAAACCAACAATAACACTGTTTAACCAATCAGAGTGCATACATACTTTAAGGTTACAATTCAATATGAGATGTACTGAAGCATATTTTTTGTTGCTTAAAAGTTATCTGGAGTCTTTGGGAGTGAGTGAGTACGCCACTTATAGCAATATTCCAGCAAGATCACGGCGGAGGACACCAGAAATATGCTTCACACATGTAGGAATCGAACCCGGTCTTCAGCGTTTAGTTACCCAACCGTCTCCAGGAGTCTTTGGACACTATCCGATGAGATTATTAAGTTAAAAAGCGCACTGCCCTCAATACCAGCACCTGGATTGTAACATTGTCGGATGAGAACTTAACATTGTGATTTTAATTAAAAATCCTGTTATAGTGTTTTGAGATTCCAAGCACTTTTTCCCGATGCTGGTTTAAATTAAACAAAAAACCTCTGACTTAATGGATCGGTTGGTCCGACCAGGTTACTTGTTGTGTCATGTACCATGCTGTTGTTCACACTATCAATCACATGTCCCTTGGAACTGGAATTAACCGAACGTTTTCTAAAAAAGTATCAAAATGGTACTGTGTTGAAAACATCAGCCAAGCACTGCAGAAGTTAAGACACAAGAGTAATAGAGTAGGGAAATATAATAGGTTGTCATCGCCTGGAGGTTACAGTTTATAATACCTTGAACAAAATGTACGCTCTTCCCCTCTAGCTTATCTGTAATGGAGTGCTTGTCTCGCTTGATGTTTTCAAGGCTACACTTCTCCACAACTCGTCTCCGAAGCTTGTCGTCAGTTTTCGTGTTGAGGAATTCGTCGATTCGTTCAATTTCTCGCATTGGTTGCTGTGAACGTGAAAATAGAACATCAATGCCAGAGGTTATTCAGTCTCAACTCTCTGATTACATTGGGATTATAAAAAGTGAGTGAGTGAGTTTAGTTTTACGCCGCACTCGGCAATATTCCAGCTATATGACGGCGGTCTGTCAATAATCGAGTAATGACCAGACAATCCAGTGATCAACAGAATGAACATCGATCTGCCCAATTGGGAACCAATGACATGTGTCAACCAACCCAGCGAGCCTGACCACCCGATCCCGTTAGTCGCCTCTTACGACAAGCATGGGTTACTGAAGGTTCATTCTAACCCGGACCTTCACGGGTGGTTTATAAGAAGTGAGTGAGTGATTCCAGCAATATTCTGGCAATATCATCACGGGAGGCACCAGAGACTGACATAATGGTCCCATGCGGGGAATCGATCCCGGATCCAGCTTTAACCACTTCGCTACGGGAGTGCCCAAGGCTTTTCAGCAGTAAACCTATAATTCTGTTACATTTGTTTGTAAACGCGGCACTCAGCAATATTCCAGCTATATGACGGCGGTCTGTAAATAATGGAGTCTGATCCAGACAATACAGTGATCAACATCATGAGCATCGAATCAAGCATTTGGGATATGATGACATGTGCTGACCAAGTCAGCGAGTCTGACCACCCGATGGCATTAGTCGCCTATTATGACAAGTATGGGTTACTGAAATCATCACAAGTACGTGAAACTCTGCTCACATCAGGATAGAAAGAACATTCGCTCACTCACTCACTTACTGTCACAAGATCCTCAAAGCGGACCACTAAAATCGATGAGGAGTGCTGAGGATTGGCCATAGCCTTCTCCCAGTTTGTCACGTGATCGAACCAGGTGCCCCATTCAACTGTTAACGGAATTGTGGCATAAACTATTTAATTGTACATTTAAACTATTCATTGAGATAATCAGAAATACCATGTGTATTCCAGGTGAATATACACTTGATTTTGTATGATAATCAGATTTGTGTATCAAGGTGAGATAAATATATCCCTGTAAAATTTCCATTGTACCAACAGATGTAAGGAATAACAAGTGGCCGAACAGCACACTTGTATCCTCCTTGACAAAAATGAGGCGTATGTTGGATTCAAAGCCACAAACTGGGGTCCTTAGGGACTCGGTTCTGGGTATTCACTCACATTCTTCACCTGCATAAATATGAATATAACACAAGTAGAGCGACATCATTACACACATATAGCAACCCAGATATATTCCAACAGTAGCATTGTCACATAGAAACAAAGCAACATGAACGCATACAAACAGCAACACCAAGACAAACAAACAGCAACATAATACCAACCAACAATAACACCAGAAAGAGCACACACAGGTCACATAGCAACACACACCAAAACACATAAGACGCACAGGGACACATAGTCCAACATATACACATCAACACAAACGGGAACACACACAGGAACACATAGTTCAACACATACAGGAACACATAGTTCAACACATACAGGAACACATAGTTCAACACATACAGGAACACATAGTTCAGCACATACATGAACACATAGTTCAACACATACAGGAACACATAGTTCAACACATACAACAGCACGCAGGAACACACAAGAATACATACAGCAACACACACACACAGGAACACATAGAGAACACACACTGGAACACAGACAGCAACACATAGGAACACACACACACAAGAGCACAGAGAGCAACATACAGGAACACTGACAGCAACACACAAGAACACATACAGGAACACACACAGGAATACATACAGGAACACATAGGAACACATAGAGGATCACTGATAGCAACACAAAAACACATACAGGTACAGAGACAGCAACACACAAGAACACACAGCAACACACACAAGAACACATAAATGAATACACACAGGAACACATAGAGGATCGCTGACAGCAACACAAAAACACATACAGGCACAGAGACAGCAACACACAAGAATACACAGCTACACACACAAGAACACATAAATGAATACACACAGGAACACATAGAACAACACATACAGCAACATACGCAGGAACACACACACGATCACATAGAAGAACAAAAACATGAACACATACAGCAACGCAAACAGCAGCACACACTCGAACACAGACAGCAAGACGCACATAAATCACTAATCAACACACACAGGAACACATACAGGAACGTGCATACATACATTCGCCATTTAGAAATAACTTCATCCAATCTGTAAAAGGACATATCTCAACCTCTCTGTCCCGAAAATACTTTTTCATCAGCTGATACCAAGAACAGGCGACATCTCGTGGGTCCCTCAAAACATAAACAATTTTCAACTTTTTTTCCAGTGCCGCTTTGGGGAGAAGTTCAAAATGCATGTGTCCATTGAGAACTCGGTGTAAAGGAAGATGCGCAAGCTTCTCATTGGATGTTTGCTCGATGTGAAAGTCTTCCTTCCTGTAAGGTATCGTGTCGTCACACTTCCTCAACAGCATGTTGATTACTTCAAAACACCAGTGAGTCCCTGCCAAACAGAAGAAGATCGTAAACAATAGAGACTAAATAAATAAAAAAAATTGTCTCAGAAAATGCTTGAAAAAACATATATGTTTCAGACTGTTGAAAAAAGAAGAATTTGTCTGCCACAAAAATGCATATTTTCAAATGATATTCAGGCTTACAGTTTTAATGTTTTTCAGCTGCAGCTGTTGCTATACAAAATCCCAGGACCTGTGTATATCATATGGTTGACCTCCAAAGCAGTTATTCTGGAAACCATCTGTATGTGAAGCGGAGCAGGCACTCTTTTCAAGCTGTTGATCACATATATGAATACGGCATATGCATTCAGCTCGAGAGGAACAGGACATTCTGCAGAATAGGTCAGGCCCTTGCCAAGGTCTGCTGACCAACAAGTTCCCGAAGCTGTGACCACTGGAGAAAATGACCTTCAGTCATGAACAGTGACCTTCATCCTTGACCAATGGTGGCATCGGTTTATCATCACTCATCAGATATAAATAGAAGCGACAAACCCCTTTCCATATTCATAAGAAATCTTTGTATATATTACTAAAAGCAGAGTCAATTGTGACAATATCATGAGGGTATATTTCTTTCAGCAGTATTACAGCTGTATGAGACCGCCTCCGTGGTGTAGTGGTTAGAGCGTTCGCCCGGAGAGCGGAAGGTCGCGGGTTCGATCCCCGACCGCGTCATACCAAAAGACGTTAAAATATGGTACTTGTTGGTCCCTGTCTGGCGCTCGGCATTAATGGGTACAACAAGGACTGGTCGGCTCGGAGTCAGTATATTGTGTCTGAGTGGGGTATTCATGCTTCACTGCGGCATGGTATCTCAGTGGGCTAGCACTATAAAACCAGCTTAAGTCTGGGCTAGTACAAGCAGCCACACATACACACGCATGCACGTCGTCATATGAGCGAAATATTCTCAAGCACGACGTTAAACCCAATTTCACCTCACTTCACCTCACAGCTGTATGATGTGGTTTGTAAACAAATCGAGTCTGGACCAGACAACCCAGTTATTCATGTGTGATACAATAACAGGGCATTTGTTTATAAATCATTTTGAAATATACTACCCATCAAAAGTTTAGACTCACTTAAAGCACTCACTATATGTTATGTATATGTATGTGGTTACATCGAAGATGAATTTCTCCACCAACTTGGGGGAACCAACTGAAAACCTTATGCAGATGAATTGCACAAGGATGATGCTTCAAATTGCGAAAGGCATGAGCAAATGTCGTGCATGTGAACAGATTCGTTTTGGTGTAAAGTTTTGTTAAGAATTCGCCAATTTTCACAGATTTTAATCATTTACTGAACTCATGACAATAATCTTTTCAATGTTACGAATATGTTTTACAATACACCAGTTCATAACTAAACAGTACCTTTAAACAGTATGGAATATTTTGCAAAAAGCTAGTTTAGAACAGTGGACAAGTAAGTGGCTACATTTACACTAGTGAGTCTAAACTTTTGATGGGTAGTATATATTACCCATCAAAGTTTAGACTCGCTTAAACCAATCACTTTAAGTTATGTATGTACATATGGTTACAACGAAGATGAAATTCTCCACTAGCTTGGGGAATCATCTGCAAACCTTATGCAGATTAATTGCACGAGGATCAGGCATCAAATTGCTGAAAAGCATGTGCAGATATCGTGCATGTGAACAGCTGCGTTTTGGTGTAAAGTTTTGATAAAATATCGCCATTTTCAGTTTCATCATTTATTGAACACATGACAATAAACTTTTCAACGTCACGAATTTGTTTTACAATACATCAGCTCATGTATAAAAAGTACCTTTAAACTGTATGGATTATGTTACAAAATCTAGTTCAGAACAGTTGACTGAAGTAAGTTGCTCCGAGTATAGTAATGATACCAGGTGTTCGCGAAAAGGTGAGTGTTTCCTGCCCCAACGGTGACTATAAGTCTAGTCAATTGGTCACCTGAAATAATTCAGGAACGTATGGTACAAGCTAAAATAGGAAACAGAATCGGACATAATTTTATTCCACTGAGGCATCAAATTTCCAAATATCGTCCACATTTCTACCATAAAAAGCTTCGCAGAGGCCTTGAATGCTGCAACCTTGATCAAACAACTTCTCAGCAAGAGTGGTGTAGAAAAAGGAAAAAGGCAAAGTATATGTCAAGATACATGTGTGTGTGTGTGTGTGTGTGTGTGTGTGTGTGTGTGTGTGTGTGTGTGTGTGTGTGTGTGTGTGTGTGTGTGTGTGTGTGTGTGTTTTATGGGTGCTTCATTGTTTATGTTGCCTGAAAATTTTGGTTAGAAGTTTTCATGGTTAATCACCTGAAGGTCAGTAAGAACTAGAATGTCACAGAGATGAATAGAAAACTAAAACTACAGACGACAATACAATACAAAAACGGGCTATAGATCGGTAACAGCTGAACGTAGATCTCCAAACTAGGGCATTAAAATACAATTCCTCCATGAATGGACCCAAGCTGCATTTACACCATCCCTTCATCTGTTACCAAGTTTAGACAATCTAGCTATAAATTAAAATAACATATATTCTACGGTTAAAGATAGTGATATGTTTAAATTTACTTTGGATTGTTTTGGGACTTACGTACCATTCTACCCAAAAGGGGATGTGAAATAGGTCTTTGAATTGATGCCAGAATGGTTACACAACTTGTTCCGTAACATTCCTTAATAATGACACACATTATATATGAATATGTATTCAGCTCGAGAGGAACTCACACTTTCTACCATGAGGGAAATTGAGTGAGTGAGTGAGTGAGTTTAGCTTTATGCCACACTCAGCCATATTCCAGCTATATGGCGGCAGTCTGTAAAATAATCGTGTCTGGACCAGACAATCCAGTGATCAGCAGCATGAGCATTGATCTGCGCAACTGGGGACCGATGACATGTGTCAACCAGATCAGCGAGCCTGACCACCCGATACCGTTAGTCGCCTCTTTCGACAAGCATGGGTTACTGAAAGGGAACTGAAATCTGCCTTTGGGTTGATGCCAGAACGGTTACGCAACTTCTTCCTTAACACCAGTTATTATTTTAATAAAGGACCAGCATTAGTACAAGGTGTTATTTACCAGATCGCATATATCCACACAACATTACGTCATCATCGTTCATGTCCACATCCATCATGTTCCGGATGACCTCTTCATCAAAGACGGATGGGTAGCGAACGCCGTTTACTTCCAGTATTGGGTATTTCGTTTGCGGGTCATTCTCAGGAGACACGTATGTAATTGGCATGATTGTAGAATGTTCAAGTATCAACTGTGATGGCAGATCAAGGAAAATGTCCAATCTGCAAAAAAACCCAAAAACATATGCCCTTAATGCTCTGTTTACCATTCTATAGAGCAGCTTGGAGATTTTTTCATCTATTCTACAGCTTATACACAAGATAGACAGACTGTGTATTCAGTACAATTGAATAATACAACAAAAACTTTGAATTGCATTTGTGTTGACTCACTAATTGACTTTCTCTAGGTTGTGTAACTTTGCATGAATCTGAACATGTGCCACATACAATATCTGACTTCAGATGAACCAGTTTTCGTCAAAGTTGTTGCAGTTTGAAACTTGCTATCCTGTTTATCATACTGGCAAACAAGGACCTGACAATTGACCCGTATTAGTATATGTATGAGTGCCGCCCTCTGGCGCTTGCCATTGTTAGCGAAGGGCCCCAGGTTGTCCACGATCAAGTGCAGTGCGACTTGCTACACCGACGTGAGAGTCCTATGAGCAAGGCGTGTGCAGCTACGCGCGGAATCAATTTCATCGTCATGCAATTCACGTGCACTAGCCTACATCTGCTCTACCTTTCACAAACCAAATGGGTTTGCTCATTGCCGTGACCCGCCTACTTCTCGTAAACGAGTTCTCTGCGTCGGTCCAACTTAACCTTGTTTGCCAGTAATTACTTTCTCAGAGCTAAAAAATACTCACAAACAATCAATATATGAAAAGCATCTTTATGAGGTTAGTCAGGGTCTTTTATGAGCGCTTCATTTTTTATGTTTACTAAATATTTTGGTTTAGTATTTGTCATGGTTTTATCACCTGAATGAATGAGTTTAGTAATATGACACTTTTAGCAATATTCCAGCAATAACTCGACAGGTATTATCTGAAAATGTAAGTGCAAGTAAAAGCCCATAAAGGTCAAAGCACATAAATAACGAATAGATGTGAATGTGGACTTTGTTCCGACGCTAGCTGCAGCTGCAGTGGCACTGCAGAATATCTGCGCAAATGGCGCATATCAACCAGAGTGGTTAAATGTTGACAATGATGATCCTGGCATTGAGCTCCAAACGGAGCAACTGGCACAGAACAATGTCAGCTGAGCTTCCCTTCGGGAGGCACTCACTCTGGAATTTACTGCAGTAGGGAACTACGCAACTACTGTTTTAAAGGAGAGGAGCAGCGAGGGTCCAAACTGAAAACTGAAAAAAACATTGTCCGGAACATAAAAACTTGATTTCAATTATTATAGCAAATACATACTGGACTCCGCTTGATTTTCTTTGTTTTTATTAAACATATGTGATTCATGTATATAACAACGATCAGTTCTTTCAATTGAATAGTTATGCAATAAATATATAACATTACTTCTTTTTAGGTTACATGTTTTAACTAGAAGCTACTTTTTATGAAGAAACAGAGAAAATGAACATATTACGATTCATAAAGTTGACATAAATGCCCCCAAAAGGGTGTTAAAAAGTCAACATTGCGTTTACATGAAACATTTGCCCCCTTGGGCAGTATTTGACTCTGAAGGTGGGGCAGGATATCCCCTTGGGTAAAGTTTGTCCATAGGGACGAGCGTGGTTACATGATGAAATTTGTCTTCAAGGAGACAAAGTTTCCGACCTGCGGCTGATTGCCCCAGGGACAAATCAGTGCATGTAGACTAGGCTTATAGGTACCCCTGACATGTTACCCTTGGTACCTGAGGCCCGTTACTCCAGGTATCTGAGAAATGTTTCACTCGGTATCCGGGACATGTTACCATGGATACCTGGCACCTGTTACAATGGATGCAAAACGTACAAGAAAAACCGGCAAACTGCCAAACTTTCAAACCGTACTAACAACTTACATATTGCGGCTGATATGAATCACCCGACGCCAGTCCGTTCAGTGAGCCTGCCACGACCAAACAAGTTTCAGCTAGTGCATTAGGGTCGGGACTGGGTTCAGTCTTCACACGGAACAGCTTCTGACATAGGTAATCACGTGTCTTGGTCCGATAACTGGATTTTTATCTTAACAACAAATTATTTGTCTCGCTCCATATGTAATTGCCATATTACATATGGTATTATTACATATTACATTCCAGGACATCGTCTATATCATTGCAATATTCTTAGTGTGAATAGTGACCAAGTCTACTTGACGCTATCGCAAATGCAACAGGTCTGTGACAGATTGAGGTTACCGTGGAAGTGTTGCAGATTAGATTGTAGTCATCTGCCCTCGACCAAGCAAGTGACATACCGCCATGCTACGTTCTTTATAATGACAGAAGTATCACAACACTTTCTTCCCAATTTGTCATTTTTTTCATAGGTGTGGTAAGTGTCAAAACGTCATCTTTGTGTGACTGTAAACAGCTTCAGTACCAAAAACACGGCAATTTTAAATATTTTCCTTGTTTAGGAAGAGTTTGCAGACATATTCGCCAAAACGTCACCAAGAAAACATGCGAAGCAAAATGCACGTGCAAGTAAGCTGAAAAGCGTGTAGTATCGATCACTATAAAAAGGTAAGCATTGCGTTTCATTTTGTCATTCGTTTTTGCCTGGAGAAGAGGAAAATATCATGCCACGACCGAGGGCCGATAATCGAAACATCGTCATAGGTCGCCTTGAGCTGGGGAGTCGCAGTCTGCAGTTTCCAGACAATTCAACGTTCATCAGAGCAGCATATCTCGCTTTTGGGATCGTTTCCTGAAGACCAATTCCACTCAAGAAACGGCCTACCAAGAGTTATAACCCAAGCCCATAACAGGGATCATTTGAGACAGCGCCCTTGCGGCATATACCGTCATTGAAATATGAAATGGCGCACTGAAAACAACAATAGGGCCCTTATGGTGGATATTTATTCCACCTGGCGCAATGCAATTCAACACCTTGCGCCTGATCAAAAGATAAATTTCACAGCAAGAGAAAAAGGCAAATTTGATTATGGTGCCCTTGGAGTAATTCTTTGTAATTTTGTAAACCAACTGGTGAATTGAAGTTTGACATATTCAGCATTTTATATGACACTGTTGCATCAATATTGCGCAAAACCAACCATGTCGAAATAATTTTAGAGGAATTTTGGAGTCCACGTAAAATATATTTTTATTCCAACAGAAAATGACTATCACTACGGACGTATTGTCACGGAGTGAGTATGGTTTTACGCCGCTTTTAGCAATATTCCAGCAATATCACGGCGGGGGACACCAGAAATGGTCTTCACAAATTGTACCCATGTGGGGACTCGAACCCGGGTCTTCGGCGTGACGAGCGAACGCTGTAACCACTAGGCTACCCCACCGCCCCCCGTATTGTCACGGAGATGAAAGAAGGAGTTTTTAAGAAGTTCAGAGAAAAGTGGGAAAGTGCAATAAATCGGGATAATAATATCAAAGGCATGGGTGAGGTGAGGTGAAATGGGGTTTAACGTCGTACTTAAGAATATTTCGGTCATATGACGACGTGCATGCGTGTGTATGTGTATGTGTGGCTGCTTGTACTGGCCCAGACTTAAGCTAATTTTATAGAGCTAACTCACTGAGATGCCATGCCGCAGTAAAGCATGAATACCCTACTCAGACACATTATACTGACTCTATAGCTGACCAGTACTTGTTGTACCCATTAATGCCGAGCGCCAGGCAAGTACCAACAAGTACCATATTTTGAGATGACGCGGCCGGGGATCGAACCCGCGAACTTCCGCTCTCCGTTCGGACGCTCTAACCACTACACCACTACACAGGCGATCCAGAGGCAAGGGAGATAAAAAACAACCAGTTCAAGGACGAACACAGAGCGGAATACCACAAGAAAAACTCCCCATGTCGAGACCAAGCAGAAGATCTCTAGCCATATTCAGATGTGGGGTCGCACCGATTAGACTTGAAACTGGGCGCTATACGAACCTTCCCTTCAATGACAGAGTGTGTTTTAATTGTACCGACTGTGTGGAAGATGAGGTGCATGTTTTACTTCAATGTCCATTTGATAACGATGTCCGTAGAGATCGTTTAACTACATGTACTGATGAGTGGCCTAATGTACAGAATGATGATGTTTGGCTATGTTTTATCCTGGTCAGCCCAAATGTTGAACGTGTAAGTGCTAAAACCTGCAAGGCTATTTTGGATTTACGTAAAGATATTTTACATACTTTATAATGTTTTTGACCCTTGTTTGTGTAATTTAATTTGTGTATTTTTAATGCTTAGTCTCTCATAACTCCAAATGGAGTGGTTCATTTTAATAGTATATGTAATATTTGAGGTGAGACGATGATAAACAATAATAAACAATATGCGTATAGCAAACAGTGCACCCTATAAATTGTATGTATTCAGTAATGGGTATCATTTCGCCATGTTTCTAATTCGTGTGGTGACAGTGAGATTTCATTGATGTAGCACCACCTGGTGACTTCCCTCGAATACTACCGCTCTTACACCTACATATATTGTTTGTATAAATCAATTAAGTCTATTAAGTACGGTGTTCACATCACACTTCTTTTTCGGACACTGCTCCACTTCACCTGGGTTTGCGCCACTCTTCTTTCTTTTGTTACTTGAGTGCGTTCTTTGACCTCTGTTTGACATAACGTAACAGATGATGTTGGGCCGGCAGAACTGTCAGACAAGTCTTGAATATGGTGGCTGATTAGGGCCATCTCGTGCTATCGCATTCTCGTCTCGTGTTATCGCTTTCTCGTCTCGTGATGTCGCTTTCTCGCTTTCTCGCCTCCGAATTTTAAGGCGAGAAAGCGATGGTCCTAATCAGCCACCATACTTGAACCCTAAAATTTTCTGCAGGCCTTTTTAGTTCTGTAAACAGTATGAATTCTTAACTTTGATAGTAGGGCTTGTTACGACGTAAATTGTAATAAAAACGCAAATTGTAATACTTGCAGCAAATTGTAATAAACTTGACGTAAATTGTAATAAAAACGTAAATTGTAATAAAAATTGACGTAAATTGTAATACGCAAATTGTAATAAAAATTGACTTAAATTGTAATAATTTTCGTTGCGGTAAAATGTAATAAATATTTACGTAAATTGTAATAACAGTTTTAATCACTCGTAAATACGCGGGTGTTTGTTTTTCGTTGTATTTCATACATTAAATAAGCTTGTTAGGGCGATAACTCAAGAAAGAAATGATGGATTTTGTTCAAATTTGGTACCAAGGTATATCACCGACACAAAAGTGAAATGGAGTGACCTTGAGATAATTTTCAAGGTCACAGCAAAATCTGAGGGTTTTGCCAATATAAAGATTGTTAGCGCGATAATCCAATAATGAATTGACAAATCTTAGCTAAATGACGAAAATGATATTCGTCCTGATATATAATCGATATAAACTGTCCTCTGTATCATGTCTTTTCGCAAATATCTTTTGAGGTTTTGATATGTATACATATAAAGTGGGGGTGGGTTTCTAACGGGTATATCTAACACACTTGCATGCATGTAGAGTCGGAGAGGTGGGTGGGTGTTCTAACGGGTATAACTACGAGGGGCGTTCAAATAGCAGTCAGCCTCACCTAGAATATGATACAAATGCAGCTGTTTTTATGTTTTATTTTTCTACATATTATCTGTCAGCCTCAAGCAAATTGGTTTTGCTATGTTGCAGCCTCACGATCCCATTTTGTGAGACTTTGTATCTTGGCTTGGTACTCCCCAAAAACGTAAAATCTGCGATAAAATGCATCACAAACTTCAGGAAACAAAATATGCTATGTTTGAGATTGGTAGAAGTCGGCTAGAATCAAACTTAGATATAAAACTGCACAAAAAAGCAATTTGAAACTACAATCGCTTGTTCAAATGACTCCCCATTCTGTTTACTGAAAGAACTCGAGAAAGAAATGATGGATTTTGTTCAAATTTGGTACCAAGGTTTATTGACTGGAGATTGGAGATTTACCGACACCACTTGAATTTTGTGACCTTGAGGTCATTTTAAAGGTCACAGCGAAGGTGTAAGTTTTGCACATGCCAAGCGTGGTAGCCGCGAACTCAGGAATGTATTAATAGATTTTGATCCAATTTTATATCAAGGTGTATTGGCGGGATTCCCCCAACACCAATTGATTGGGAAACTTGTGGTCTAGAAGCCAGACCCCCCAAATGGTGAAAATGTGGTGCAGTTCTGGCGACCAAACGGGATGTGATTTTTCACAATCAGGAATGATTTAGCTTTGATTTAAAGCCGGTTGTCATCAGCTACCGTGCGTGACTACCGTACAGAGGCCCTGTTAAGGTGCAACATGTCATGTCAGTTATGGCAATATTTTAACCGATAACTGGGTGGTTTAATTTAATAACTTTGTTTTGGAGTGACCGATTTTCATCAAAATAGTAGTTTTGGAATGCTCAGATCATGATTGAAAATTGTGGACAATAATATTACATATATGTTCATCGCAAAAATAGTTTGGTAAGGTCAAAGGTCAATTTGAATAGAAAGGGCATTTGATGAGAAAATATGAGTTGAACTTTACAAATCAAAGGTAATTGTTTCCAAAATTATGTTTTTCTAATTCAGCTATATCATTTGAAGATCATATATACCTTTGGTTTGCTCTGTATGCATGAAAAAACCATTACAAGGAAACAAAAGTTGGTACTTTGTATCTAGATCAGCAAAATATTATTATATAATGTCTGTTCAACAGTAACAGCTCCATGCTTTGCATAGTCAACGATACCAAATATGTCGCTGATACTGTCGGACTATCTCTAAAACCACACAACATAACAGAAAGCTCTTAAATGTAAAATTCTATTATTCCAGATGTCTTTCTTTGCTCATCAAAGAATGATGAGTCAGCCATGTCATCATAACTCAAGCAATATTTCCTTCATATCAATTCGTGTCTATTGTTCCTAATAGTCATAGTGTATTCCTAGTTGACATG